TTTTCAAGTTTTATGACTTGGTTAACGTATAAAGGACGTTAATTAATTTTATAAAATCTTAAAATTGGTATAATTCGAAAACGGCTAATTTTCGGACAGTCGTTCCTATAGTAAAATCGACTCAGATTGGCTTGTACTATCTCCCCCCACCGGCTCTGCATCTATTTCCCCGTCACCCTGTAAAGCAGGGCCTAATATTTGCAAACAGACCGACATATAGACCAACGGAAATGACTGACATGTCATATAACATCCAAAAAACATAATATCTTATTTTCAAAATTTTTCAGGGTTACAATACTATCTCGACAGTAACACATTCACCATATTTGCAGTATGTGCCAAAACATCTCATTTTCATCAATCGACATGGGAAATAAAGGAAAAATTAGATTTCAAAGGAAGATCGCATGTGTAAAACTAAGTAAATAAACTACTTGTATCACACTTTCCCTTCATATATGTTATTAAATGTTTACTCAAGACAGATTGCATTAAATGATTATGGTAAGAAGGGTGACTATAAAATTGGTCATACAACAGTCGTATTTTGTTTCATTTCAGACGATCCTATATCAAATTCAATAGCTGTCAAGTAAATGTGTATTAATTTGCATTCACAGCGTACACGGGTAAGCTGTCAGCCATATACCGCAAGCAAACCGCAATGAAGACCGATGAGCGTGTAAGACTGATGGACGAGATCATATCTGGAATCCAAGTGATAAAAATGTACGCCTGGGAGAAGCCGTTCACCAAGTTGATCAAGTATGCCAGGAAAGCCGAACTGAAAGTGGTTACGAAGTCTTCCTACGTCAGAGGCCTGTTTATGACGTTCAATCTGTTCACGACAAGGATGTCGCTGTTCTGTTCATTGCTGACCATGGTGCTAATGCAACAGCCAATTACTGCCACAAAAGTAAGTCAAAAAATTTATTATTTTTCTTAAAGTGGAGTTGCCACAAAAGTAAGTCAGAAAATTTATAATTTTTTTTAAATGGAGTCTTTCCTAGCATCTCGGAAAGACACACCCACAACTTTATGAGTAAAACACCAATCAGTTAAGAGTACAGAATCATATATTCATTCCCACGCACAAGCATTTGCCTCTTGTGGTGATGTGTATGTTTATTGCGGGATATGTTTTTTCTTTCGCTCCTAAATTCTATTTTTTACTCAATAAACATTATTATTATAATAATAATAGGATTTTTTTTTGAAGTTGAAATTTTAAGTCGATCAAAAAGCCTTAAATGTACTTTCCATCAGATTTATGATTGGAAAGCCGATATTGAATGCAGGTGGAGACTGTCAGTCTAATTCATTACGCGACACATGGCATTCGGTGTTACCTATAATCAAATCAAGCAATCTACCATAATTCTTGGAGACTATATTGAATTGATCGAAATTAAAAATGACAAATCCATTAACGTTCTTGGTTTGCCATCATTTATATCATTAACAGAGAACTTAGGCATGTTAAAGCCATCCAATAAGTCAACATTTTCATCATCTTATTGATTCTCCTATACAGTGCCTCAAAGAAAAGGTCAAAATGATACAAAGTTACGCTTGGTGGAAGATATACCAAAATAGATTCATATATGAGAAAACTTACATTAGCAGCAAATAATATCCAATGCCAGGGAATTGCAACTGAACAGTTAAGGATGTTTTTTTGCCCTAAGCACCTACCGTGGAAATGTTGAGTATATCAAGACTTCGATCTTTTCTTAGCACATAACGGGTGTTTTTTTTTAGAGGTATATAACTTTAAATTGCAATAAAACAACGATGGATTATTCGATTGACATGAATTTTTTTTATTCGAAAGATAATCTTGTGGCATTACATTTTAAATATGATTTCTGGCATATGACTGCCATGGCTGGCTCGGATATAGTCCAATCTCGACGTCCAATTTTTGATGACTTTTTCCAACATTTGTGGCCGTATATCGGCAATAACAAGGCGAATGTGGTCTTCTAAGTGGTCAAACGTTTGTGGCTTATCCGCATAGACCAACGACTTTACATAGCCCCACAGAAAATAGTCTAGCGGTGTTAAATCACAAGATCTTGGAGTCCAATTTACACGTCCAAAACGTGAAATTAGGCGATCACCAAACGTGTCTTTCAATAAATCAATTGTAGCACGAGCTGTGTGACATGATGCGCCATCTTGTTGGAACCACAGCTCCTGGACATCATGATTGTTCAATTCAGGAATGAAAAAGTTAGTAATCATGGTTCTATACGGATCACCATTGACTCTAACGTTCTGGCCGTCATCGTTTTTGAATAAGTACGGACCAATGAATCCACCAGCCCATAAAGCGCACCAAACAGTCAGTTTTTCTGAATGTAACGGTGTTTTGACATAGACTTGACGACTAGCTTCACTCCAAATACGGCAGTTTTGTTTGTTAACGTAGACATTCAACCAGAAGTGCGCTTCATCGCTAAACAAAATTCACTTATGAAAATCGGGAACAACGGCAATCTCGTTTTGGGCCCATTCAACGAATCTACGCGTTGCTTGATGATCGTTTGGCTTCAATTCTTGCACGAGTTGGATTTTGTAAGCACGCAAACCAAGATCCTTCCGCAAAATCTTCCATAAAGTGGATGGACACAGATCCAATTCCTGTGCTCGATGGCGGATGGACTCATTCGGGTCTTCCTCAATGCTACGCTCTACAGTGGCAATAGCTTCTTCTGTACGCATCGTACGGCGTCTCTGGGGATGCGAGTTATCAATTAGAGTAAACGTGGTGCGAAAACGTTCCATGGTTAATCGAATTAACTGCTCTGATGGACGATTTTGTCGACGATAAAATGGACGTAGTCCGCGATACGTATTCCGCACAGAACCATTGTTTTCGAAATAAAACTACACCATTTGCAAGCGTTATTCAGGCGTGAGTCTTTTCGTGATGAATTGCCAAACCAAACTGAGAATAAATCACTTGACAGCTGTCAAATCGGTCGCCTTCTTCAAAAGTAATGCCAACTAAAAGTTCTATACCTCGAAAAAAAAAACACCATTTATTTAGGAACACTTCAGAACTACGACTGGCATTCTTTAGCCATGTTTCACAGCAGAACTGTGTCAAAGTCACTCACCAATACAGGAGGGTAAATTTCATCAACCTAGGTGTTTACGCCCCTAAGGTTTTGATAATAATTATAATATTTATTCACTCAATGTACAGATAAAACAACATGAGTAAATAAATATAAAATAAAATCAGACCTCATAGGAGGCATTGCCTGTGTATGGACCAATAATTTCAAGCTGTAACTGTAGAATGCAAATTATAAAAAAATAGGGCCAGAATAATGAAATTAAATTATGAGTATATAGATTTCAGTCCTTGATGTAGAATGTAACCACCTTTTCACATTTCTCTTGAAATAATGCCCGGAATGTAAATCTGTTAAGTCTTGAAGTAAAATGTCATAAAATTCTGGTGCAAAATAGAGATATGATCGTTGCATTTTTTTATCTGGCTGAGGAACTACTGAACACGAATTTTGTACCTTATGTAATGTTTATGTTTAATTTTTTGGTCGATGCTGAGAAATTTATTATATCGAGTAATAATGTGTAATAAATAAAGCTGTTTCATATCATACATAGACATAAAGCTTCTACTTATTTTTATTGCTGGGAGAATTTTGTTTGACGATACGAGGGATGACTTTTAAGTTTTGCATATGGAAATAAAACAACACGGTAGGTAGTTTTAAATGACTTAATTGTTTTTCGAAGTATCCCCCACGAAGATTAATACACATCTGCATGTGCTTGAACCAATTTTCGAAGCACTTTTTCCACTCGTTAGCTGGCAGATCCAAAACGGCATTTTTGAATGCGTCAACTGCTTCTTCTGGTGACTGGAACCTTTGACTACGCAGTCTGTTTTTAATTTTCGGGAAAGTAACGAAATCGTTAGGACTTAGATCAGGACTATATGGAGGATGGTCCAATAATTCCACGTTTTCTTCCGTTAAATACTGCCTTGTTTTTTGGGCTGTGTGCGAGCTTGCATTGTCTTGGTGGAGGATGATTCTTCTTTCGTGGTTGATTTTTCGAAGCTAGGTGATGACTATTGGCAAACAAATGGTGGTATAAAAATCCGCAGTAACAGTTCTTTGCTCATTAAGAGGAATTGTTGCAATATGACCCGCTTTTGACACAAATGTCTCGACCATCTTTTTCGAAACACTTCGAGAACGGATGACTTTTGTTGGCTTTTCTTCACCTTGAAACACCCAAACAGCCGACTGTCGTTTATTTTCTGGTTCATAACAGTAAATCCACGATTCATCACCACTACTAACAATACTGTACACATTTTTTGAGTTTCCGGAATTGAAACGGTCAAGCGTTTTTTGACACCAGATTTCTGCTCTTCAGTCAATAGGTTGGGTATCCTCATTTTCTTACTCCTAAATCTTAATGTAAAATTTTTTGAATTGAGGTATTTGAGACCTTCTAGGACGCCTCAATCTCGCGATATGTCACATGTCTATCTTCAATGATGCCGTTTTTGGTGGCGCTTCGTTGCCGAAAACAGACAGTAACTCAGCAAGGCATTCTTGTTGCAATAATTGTCTCTGAAAGTTGTAATAAATTATGGCGCGAAAATGTTCTCCGTTGAGTTCCATTTTTCTAATGACTTGTGACACTTAAAAATTCACTGTAGTGAGAACACTGCACGTATTGTTGTGAAACTTGGAATTTAAGTTTACGAAAGAGTGAGGTTAAGATTCAGTACTGACGTTCGATCCGCGCGGCCTACTATGTTTCTATAGGCAAAACTTAAAAGACATCCCTCGTATGACCTTTCTAACTTGGTTGAATAACATATTTACATGATCAAACGAACTTACACGTAAGTGACGTTCGATCTTAATTATGTGAAGTCCTCGTCGAAGTAAATATTTAGAATACATATCGTAGTAACCTCATGGCGGTTGGGTACTACTACCAGGTTACTACGATATGTATTCTTAATATTTACTGCCACGAGGACGGAACATAATACGAATATTTGTTTCACCAGCATTCACCCGTTCGTTAACCCCTGCTTAATACTCTTGAAATAATCCAGATGGCGGTTAGTGCCGTCCAGAAAAACTCCCACAAATTATTTTTATGCTTCTGTCTTTCGAAGATTTCAGACACTACCTCTTCAAACTGGTTTTGCAAATTATTCATCCTTCTTTGTCTTATAACGTCTTGAGGATTTAATATCAGAGACAACAAGATGCCCTTGTTGACATCCTGAACTAATTGAAAAATACTGTGCCACTAGTAAAACCACACGGAATAAGTATAAGGTGGTAGCTTTAAAAAAAGAATTTTGACAGTACAACGTTGCAATTTGGCACGCCAACGATCACACTGATAAACAAAAAAAATCACTGGACCAGGATCTATTCCAATTTAACTTTGAGCTTGTTGGTTAATGAAACCAAAAATTTTTGTTAACGCATACCTCAACATAGGAGTAGAAAAAATTCTTCATGTTATTACCACTTATTAGGTTTTCTAGACAAACTCGCCAAGCTTTTACTTCACATTCCAACGTGGAGCCAGACGGTCAGAAAAATATCTAATTGTACTGATATATTTGTTTAGCTCACTACCAACAAAGCTTTTGACATAGAACTTGCCATACATCCTACTGAAGGGCTAAAAGGTTCTTGTCTTCACATATTCTCCTCTCGCTATACAAAGCCCAGGTAAGACTCCAGTACTGCTCACATGTTCGGGGTGCTGCAGCTCCAACTACACTGTTCATGTAGTAATAGTAGAAGTAGTAGTACTAGTAGTAGTATCACTTAGACCTTAGACCCTTTTTGCTAACCCCGTAGTACCAACACTTTACTACTCCATTCCGTCGAACTTCGGACAACACAACTGGTTAGTACGACCGCTCCCTAGGATGCCTAGATTGTGGAACAATATGCATGAGAAGGTTTTCTTAGGCATTTTAAAAGTCGGATTGAGTGTAAAAGAACTGAAGCTGCGTTTTTTAGATGATTTGCATCGTAGCAGTGGCGGCGCGTGACTTTTCTTAAACTGTTACCAAAACCAGATGTGAAAAATTTTATTAAAAAAAGTTATTTTGAACTTCCCAAATATAAGTTTTTGCTTTAAATTAAGGTAGACACTCCTGGACTGAGCGTCTGGGGCACTTGATATACCTCATCGTCTTATGCTATGACTAATTCAAGCCGTCCGAAAAAACAGTCGACTTTTCTAGATGTTCTGAAAATTTTTGATCGTTTTTGACAATGAATGTTAACAATTCCCTGTAATTTCCTCTATTGTCAGAGTCAAAACATACGGTATCTAGAAGTGTGCTGCCTAAAAGCTTGGTTAAGCCAACTTTCGATTCTTGTTTTGCCAAACTGAATTAAATTGGCTACACATCTCACATGTAACGGAGAAATTTCATGTCTTCTCTTTAAAGCCCTAAAACTATTTAAATCGTTGACTCCGCTGCTGGTCCACCCTTTTTGTTCAAGACATCGCCAACAATACAATTTTTTTTTCGCAACCACATAACCAAGAGTTTCCATATACCAACTTAATTTAAAATATCAGACTACGTTTTTTGATTTCTTTTTAAAATTATCTAAAATAGGTATTGGTCTTCCATTTTCACTGATCTCCTTTTTTCTTAAAATTTATACAAGGAGAATGACTTTTCAAGTAGCGCCCCGGGCGACCGCGGTAAGACACGAGCCGGTACCGACGGTCCTCGACGGACTATCAAGTGTATCCATAAATGAAAATGGTAACAACCTACAACCAAGTCGAGGCGAGTCAGCTTCATCGTGTTCACAAAACCTAGACACTATAGGGCGCATTATTTTCGTGGGGCTAATTTGCTATGTACTGAGTTACTATTACATATTGCTGTTGGTAAACAAATAAATGAACTTATTTCACAGTACTTAGTCATAAAATATTTATTTTTAAGATTTTTAACTGTTACCAATGGTAAAAATGGTTACATGGACGCTTCGCTACTGCATCGCAGATATTTTCGCAGATGATTTGAAGTTTGCTCATCTTCCACCATTAATCCTGCTGCTTGTAAGCAGCGAATTCATGGAGAAATGCATTAATAAGGAAATATCTCGAGCATAACCACCAGTGACTACTTACCATCCGGATTACTCTCTACAATACCCGGACTTAGTATGACTTAGTAAATATTGTACTAAGTACAAGGAATTTTAAACCCCATTCCGTCGACTTCAATACTTAGCAATCTAGATATTTTTTTAAGATCTGCCGACTGACTTGGCTCTTCTCAGTTCCCCTCCATGATGCCGCCGCATTTTAGGTCTGCGAGATGTACCTTACAGGATTTTGCTTCTCATTCTAACTGCATCGAACTTTGTAAGTAGAAATCAGACCACTCCTTTATTCCTAGTATATCGAGAATTTTGAATAGTATACAAAAAAGGCTTCTGCTAAGTTAAATTACACAACATGAAACTTATCCTGTGATTGTGTGGCTGATGAATCTCCAATACAAATTACGCAACGAGTATAAAGAAGGGGTGTCGTAAATCGTTTATTTGGCAGAGCCCAACAAATATCTTCGAATCAATAAATCCTCTACAGAGAGGAACTTTCCCTGAAATCACACTTTGCAGTAATGGATATTCTCAAGAACTTGTTAAATCTCAAAATTTTAAAAACATTGCTATCTACCTATACCTCCAAGCCAGCTACCAACCACAAGCAGTACACTCTATAAATCATCCGTAAAAGGTTTGTCTAAAAGACATAAAGGTGTATGCAAAATATTCAAAAACAGAAATATATGTTTAAAACAACAATATTATTGCAGGTGTTCGTGTTCATGTCCTACTTCAACATTCTCTCCCAAACGATGTCTACGATGTGGGTGCGAGGCATCTCCGAGGTGGCCGAGCTTCTGGTGGCGATCAGGCGCCTGCAAAGCTTCATGCTGAATGAAGAATTTATAGAGCACAACAAACCGCAGAACAACAACGGTGCTGATATTAGAGCCATTGACAGTAGGGACGCACTCAACATCAAAGGTCTCACGGCTTATTGGAGCACCGGCAGCTCAGACCTAGCTCTAAAGAACATCTCATTGAATGTGAAGAAGAGACAACTGTTAGGGATCATCGGACCTGTCGGGAGCGGGAAGAGCTCGCTTTTGCAAACCATTTTGGGTACGATTTGAATGATAGGGACTGCGTAAATAAAAGGAAAATAAGTCAAGTGAAGTAAACTGGTGATTTCAGCCCGTACATTGCGTCTATCGTAATTTTAGGTATACGGAAGTTACTAAGCAACGTTAAGGTGTACGCCCATTGGGGGACGGAAAGCGAAGAGAAGAGGATCGAAACTCTAGTATAAGCAAAATTTTCGTGGGTTCTCTTTACGTCGCTTTGCTTCACTGTGCTTCACAGCGCTTCACTATGAGAAATTATTTGGAGACCTAGATAATTTTTTGACTGCGCTCTAAATTAGCTCAGAAAGTTGAGGCACATTTGGATTTCTTTTAAACATTTTACCTTTTTTTGACTGAAGCTTCTACTAACTCAAAAACATCGAAAATCTATGCCTTGAGATTTTTCGTAATTTAGACCCTGAAACTCTGCTACTTAATCTATCTTACAATGGTTTTGCTGATGCTGCAGTCAATTTGATAAGCTGCTATTTGTCAAATAGAAATCAAAAGGTCCTAACAGCTTCGAAAATGCCACAGTCAACTGCTAAAGTTTGGTGTTCCTCAAGGTTCCATATTGGGACCTTTACTTTTCTCTCTAATATATATCGGATTCTCATCAATATGACCATAAATTGCACAATCCATCACTATGCCGATGATACTCAAATTTATTTTAGTTTTCAACACAAATATTTCAAAATAGCAGAAGCATTGCTCAACGAAGACTTAACAAGGCTAGTAGACGTCTCGTGCTCGCCTAACCTAAAAATTAATCCAACTAAATCTTCAGTTGTGGTTTTCGGCTCAAAAAACAAAATAACATTGATCGAAACGGAAATTAACCTTAAAATCTATGATTGCCGGCTTCCTATAATGAATGAGTGTAAAAACTTGGGACTCTGGATTGACACAGAACTAAAATACAAAAAACACGTAAATTCGTTAAGTAGTGCATCATACTGCATTTTGAAGCAGTTTTATCCACGTAGGTAAATAATACCTACTTCAGTAAAGCTGAAACTGTGTGAAACATTAATTATATCAAAGATCAGTTATTGTGACAGTATATATGTCCCGCTCTATCATATAGTGAACAAAGCAAATTACAGCGTATTCAGAATTCGTGCGTCAGATTTTCTTGCGGAATACGAAAGTTTGATCATACTTCTTATACATTTAAGGAACTTGGTATTCTGCAGATTAAAGACATGCAAAAACTTCACTTATTGACACTCACACATAAGGTCTTAGCTACCAAATAACCACAATATTTGCATAATAAGTTATCCCGATGTAGTGACATAAATCAACTGAATACCAGGAATAGAAATATGTCAGTGATACCCTTACATTCTAAGGCTGTCTACAAAAAATCATTCAGCTACAACGCCATAAAATTATTTAATGATCTGCCTGTTACATTCCAAAACTATACATTGTTTAATTTTAAAAAGAGGCTTAAACTAAAACTGCAATTCGAGGTCTAATAATGAATACAAAATGCTAGAAATATGGACTATTCTTGTAATTGTTCTGTTTTTTTGTGTTGTTAAGTATTTAGTCATTATTGAGAATTATGGATACATTTTTATTGGTGGAATGTTTTATTATATATTTTTTTCCTTCAAAAGGTCCAGATGAGTGAAATACGCTTTGTTGGCAGCCAGATTTTTCATCACCAGCGACATCATTTGAGATGCGTACTTGGTGGCAAAGTCTGTCAGCTCCTCGACGTCGCTGTTTTTGGCACTGCTGGCCTCAGCGGCTTGGGCCCCTTTAGGTGTTCCAACTGTTGTCTTCGCATAACTACGGCCTTCCTGTACTGGACTAGGCCTAGTTATGGTTTTGGGTGCTGGCGCTGCTCGCGCTGTGCCCCTTGCTGCTGTCTTCTTATCTCTTGGCCCTGCACTCTGCCTCTTTGAGCGTCCCTCAAAGTTTGCGGGATGCTCTCCCCCGCAGTTGGTGCACTTCGCGGGCGTTTCATTAGGGACCTCACAGTCCGCCGCTCTATGCTTTCCTGCGCATCTAACGCAGTGCGGCTCTCCCGTGCAGTTCATTTGGCTTTGGCCAAACTGCTGGCATCGGTAGCGCTGACCTGGTAGTCCTGACCTTAATGCCTCCACTTGGATCACCATGTTGCAAACAGCATTTATCTTGTAGATCCCCGTCTCTTCCTTCGGGAGATCTAATTTGATTAGCGGTATCGCTTTGTCAGTCCTCCTACTGGTCATTCTGCTCACCCTCTTCGGGTGGAAACCTTGCCTTACCAAGTCTCTCTTGGCAGGTGGTGATTATTGGCATCCCCCTTAATACCACTCCCAGAGGCTTGTCTTCTGGAAGGGAGTATGTATGGTGCTCTATCTTAGCATCTGCCAAGATCTTCCTAATCTTTCTGTAGTCCTCACTGTTCTTTGGTTGGACCTTGATACCTGCTCCGGTTAACAGTGCAGGCTTTTCAATTGTGAGCATATTCTTGCTCACTACTTCCTTCCACTATTCTTTTCTATGGATATACAGCGGCGGTGGCCTCTTCTCCTTTTTCCTACTTGCCTCCGTCTGCGGAGGAGTGGGGGTGGAGGTGGAGGACTGGTCCATCTCTTGCAATTCTGCGGTTGTTTTAGTTGCAGATGTAGTGGCCGGGTTGTGACGCGGTGCCTTTTTCTTAGGGGCATCTTCCTTCCTTCCATCTTCTGAGGAGGTGCTGTGCCTCCTCTTTTCTTTCTTTTGGTTTTCCTCCATTACCATCTTGTTTTTGGGGGCATCAACCTCGATGCCCTGTCTCGCTGCAATTTGCTCAATGAGCTTGGCAGTCATTTCGCGCTCTTCGGCGCTCGACCTTCTCTCTTCAATTAGCTATCGCGTTAGGTCCGGCAGCTGACAAGATAGCTCAGCTATCTGTTTCTTTAAGTCCTTATTTTCTCTTCTCATTTTCTTGAAATACCCCTCATGTTGGGCACACTCTTCGTCTTCGCTGGCTGAGGAATAGATGTATTCCTCATCGTCCAACATCATTGCCACTATATCCACCGTGTCCCGCTCTATTACAACCATTACCTTTTACACAATTTCCAGTTGAGGCCGCCCACTGGAAATTGTGTGTTCCTTTCGCGCTGGTGCCCTTTTGGGCTCACTGCACTTCGCTTCACTTTGTTGCGTCCTTTTTCGCTACCCGGTTTTACACAATTTCCAACGAGTGGAAATTGTGTAAGAGTTTTTCGTCCGCCCGGTTTAGGCTTTGCCTATTGGGTGGACGTCACTCTCGCGTTTTCTCCGCGCGTGTCGATTGGTCGCGTGTCGCCTGTGTCGCGTGCGGTCTCACTGTCCTCGGTTCGTGTTCACTCCTCGGCGTGTGCACTGCGAATGACGAGCTAAATCAACGACGTCTGTTGTCTTTCCGATTATATTGGACGTCATTATCGTCATACCCGTTAAGGTTTTGTCCAGTCGAAATATTCGAAAATATTACTCTAATGCGCAGGCGTATCATATGAATTACTCGGAAATTTTGTTTGCTTGTGTCATACAGGTTGTAGAGAAAATCTTCAATACTTTTTCCATGCAAATTTTCGGCATAATTATGACCATAATTTTCGGAGTAATCCTCTTGTGTGTAAAACGGCTCTTACAGGTGATTGACTAATTTGAATGAAAATCGGTTAATATAACTTAGGTATAACAGTCTTGAACCATAATGAGTACTAACATGAAGTACCTTATTATATGTAACATCAATAGATTTCGCATCGAACGCCGAAATAATGATTTTAATAGGCACATTTTTGATACCTTTGCTAACATTTCGGTCAGAGTTGAGTCAATTTAGACAAAACTTTAATAAACCATACACATAAACATTTCTCATGAATCCCTCTATACACTGGGAAAGCTATATAAAAATTCTGTTGGTCTGCTTTTGAGTTGTACTCGTATATTTAATATGAAGTGCTTTTCGTTGAGGGCGGGCGGGGTAGAAATATTTTCAAATCTTAAGCAAAAATGTGAGAGTAAATGTGTATGTGAAATATGTTCTAATTACCGTGGCTAGAAGCGTGCTAACGCCTGAAACTTGTGACCTACCCTCCCCCAGCCCTACAAGCCCAATTTTCAACCCATGCAAAAAAATTTCTCTGAACAATCAGGGGCCTCTGGAATATCGAAAAACAAGTTTGTGCGATTTGTATTTTTTCAACCATAGCTCCGTCGCTACTGAACCGATTTTCATAAACTATAAAGCATTTTCGTCCATAGTAGTAATCGTGCTTGAAAATTTCATCAAAGTCCGTACGGTACTTTCCAACTTATAGAGGGGTCAAGAATTAACGGACAGATAGACCTATGAAAATGAGTGGTATGGTTTTTCGAGATGTGCACGTAATATGTATAACATCCCAAAAACGTAATATCTCATTTTCGATTTATTTTGCGATTACAATACTTCCTCGTCAGTGGCGTAGGAAGTAAATACGTCGAGGAGCTTTTTACATCATTTAATCAAGAAAATGTAACAACTATTTTAATTGTTTTGGCGCTAAAAGAAATGTGTACAAATATTGCACCAGGACACACATTTAATCAATTTTTTTTTTGCAAAAGTGCATGTCGCTGATGCCTGGTTTGCTGACATATCAAGTCAATGACAGTCCTATTTGATCCATTTCCATACGCTTAAAGAACGATTTGGACAGTATTGATGGCCTTCAAATGGCCACAAACATGGAATATCAAAACTTTTCGCTAAAGTGAAGAATGCCGGCTTCAGAGTCTTGTGCGCCCTGAGACAAAGAATAAAATATAGGCCCTTCACTCACCTTAATTAAGAACCAGGGCTGATTCAACCTTTGAGAGGTCCTCTCTGTATAGTTGGGTGAATTTCTGTTTCTCCCAATACGAGTATTACGAGAAGATCTACTACCGATGATCTCACTTGAATGTATGCACTTTGCAAGGGCATTTTTTCCATTGTTCGCAACCGATTTTCAGAAACCTATGAATAAACTACCATCCAGAAATACAAAGTTGAAAATCGCATACAAATGTTTTCAAAAGTTATGTTTTTTACATTTAGGCATTTGGTATATTAACTTCTCTCCACAGGCGAATTGGTCATAGCAAACGGATCGCTGGAAATGAATGGTACCATATCCTACGCGTCCCAAGAACCATGGGTGTTTGCAGCCACCATAAGACAAAACATCACCTTTGGCAGCGAGTTCGACAAGCAGCGATACAACGAAGTGGTACGTTCATGTGCCCTCGAAAAGGATTTCAAACAATTTCCTCAGGGAGACCAAACCATCGTTGGTGATAGAGGAGCTTCACTGAGTGGAGGACAAAAGGCTAGGATCAATCTGGCTCGAGCTGTATACAGGTAAGGCCTTCAGTCTATCAAATTCCCTGTACAAAGATTCTATTACACAACTAGTTTAATATACTTTACTTTTTACCAACGTTAAGTTGATTCTGTAGCACTTGAGCACGTAAGATCCCAGAGTTGCAGGACATCACTTATTTCCTCAAATACAAAAGTTTGGGAATTCAGTAGTGTTTATATGTACTACGAGTATATGTACTTTCAAAGCTTGCGTATCGGGAAAATTAGATAATTGTCCGATTTGGACATACACGTGAGACAGGAAAGCAAAAATAAGACAAACTTTATATCCTACTTTACAAGCACCCATCACTTTAAAATGACAGCTGATTATCTAGTAACATCTCAAAATTCCCCATATCGGCGCCGGACTATGGATGGCAATTTGTTAGAAAATATCGATGTTTGGACATCGACAAACATCGCCATCCCAACATCGATGGAGCTCGATACATCGATGTATCGAAACAACTCTTCTTTTTAACGTTTTCTGCTTTCAATTCAGCAACGAATTCATCGATGGTTATCGGTTTTAGTGGAATGGTCATTTCATCCGTTGGTGGAGTTCGCAACGCGTTTTTTCTCGATTTCAGAACCATTAAGTAAGAATAAAAAACGCGATAGCAACTTCACGATAGGATGAAAGAAGGATACCGACTGCAATATACTTCAGTAAAAAAGAATGATTATAGGAAACTGCAACATATGAGATTGTCAAAATTAAGAACACATTGATGTCCATTAAATACTTTACACTGTGCACAAGTTGAAGAGTGTATTTTAAAGTATGTAGTTCCACACATCACTTTTTCGTGACATTTCGATTAATTAACAATAAAACAGCGACACTACAACTACATACAACAAAATAATCAAAAGAACCTGAAATCGTTAAATGCGCTGTTTTAAGTTTATTTTATTGTATCCCTTGGGGAAGTACAGAATAAAGAAAAGACTACGGTCCATCTCACGTCCGTAATGATAATATTAACAGCTTTCTGGGTTTTCAATTTAGAAGCTACCAGTCCTCGCTTAGAGATGGTAGCACAGTTAAGGATATACTCGGGGTATACAGATGTTTATGATCCTTTCCATGTCGGTACATCGATATATCCTCATAAAACCATCGATGCCTAATCATCGATGTTCTACGTTCAATGTATCGATGTTTTCGATACATCGATGTATCGTTGCCATCCCTACGCAGGACACATAATTCTGACGGAGCCGTCAAACAAGTTTTACTAGATTTACACCCGATTCATTATTGCCAACGTCACAGATTAACACAAAAATGTCACTTGCTGATCAGCTGTTCACCTGAGTAGACGTCAAAGCGTGGTGGATACTTGTGAAATAGGGTATACTTAAATTCCGATGGCTCATTCTTATACAGGGAGTAAACGTTATGGTAGTCATTTTGAAATGGGTAATAGGCGGGTTGGTCAAAACAAGTCAAAAAGTTCATATGACCCATGGTCCAAAAGTCAATAGATTTTTATCTAAATGGCTTTATAGTTTACAACTTTAAGTGCTTTATATCGACCACAATCACCACAATCGTACTAATTTTTATCAACTAATCTAAAACGTTTTTAAATTGGGTACTTAACAAATAAATGGCATTAAGTTTTTCTAAGTTAATCCAAAATTTGTAGTCAGTAAGTAAGTAAGTTTCATTAAATTAAATATTTAAAACACACATGACAACAGTGCGTCGCTCTTTCATCACCCTTATCGAACCGGCAATCAATCGCAAACGGTAACAGTGGTTAGTATGTTGTTTTGTTTTTGTTCGCCTATGTGGTCGTATTTATTTACAATGTTCTCGAATCAAGAGTTCGCCGACATGTTGCAGCTCAAATTTATCGTACCAAAGACTTTGAAGTACAGGAAGTGTTCAGCCCACGTATATTCGCACTCGTGAAAGACAGGTTACTGTAGAGTAGGAGGAACAAATTTTAAATATCCTGGAAATCAATGCAGATATCAGCACTCGGGAACTAGGCCGCTGCGTAGGATTACCGCATATCATAGTCCATAGAATCCTACGGGAAAATTTGCTTTATCCCTACCATATACAACGAGTGCAGACCTTGTTACCAGAAGACTATCCTCGCAGACTAACATTCTGTCAGTGGTTTTTGCACAAAAGCAGTGAAAATCCGGATTTTTTTAAAAACATTCTAGCGACGGACGAATATACCTTTGCGCGAGACGGGATATTAAATTTCCATAATACTCACACGTGGGCCCAAGAAAATCCTCATACCAGTCGTGAAGGTCATTTCCAACAACGTTTTAAAATAAATATTTGGGCAGGTTTTCTTGACGATCATGTAATTGTCCCTTTCGAGTTACCCCCAAAGTTGTCAGCAGTAGGATACCTTAGCTTTCTAGCCAATAACCTACTAGAACTTTTGGAACAGACCTTACACAACATGACGTTACAACGTAGACATAATTTATGGTTTCTTCATGACGGGGCACCACCACACATTTTTAAAGGCGTCATTCAGTATTTAAATGAACATTATCCAAATCGCTGGATCGGTCGAAATGCTCCTGATGCTCGAAAATGGCCAGCAAGATCTCCTGACCTCAATGAGATGGATTCTGGTATTGGGGAGAACTTAGAGGGATGGTTTATGGGGCTGGTCCAATAACAACTGAAGCACGACTTCGCGAAGCATTTTAAATGGACAACTTCGAGAACCTAGAGTAAGAAGAAACTGGGTTCGTCGTAATGAAGCTTGTGTGGAAAGTGGAGGACGACATTTTGAACACCTTCTTTAAATACAAAAAAGTGCAGTGTGTTTTTAAATGAAAAACAATGTATGTATCAAAATTGTGTTCCCTATTCATAATTGGATTTTATTAATACGTTCAATAAACTTTCACACACCAGGGGAAGCGCTGAGACGGTTAGTAGTAAGTCCGTTTTTTATAATTGTTTGCATTTTACGAGTACATTAAACTTTTTGCTCCTTTTAACCCCCTCTATCACTCATTTAAATGATGACTATCATAATGTTTGAAGGTGTTGAAGCCACATGTAAGCGCTACTGAATGCCCCAAATTTTGTCTTTGAGAAAATAAGTAACGTCTTGCAAGACCATTTTCATTTTGGCCCATACAAAACAGACTTTGCTTCCATTTGATTGTTTCGTGTGACCAGTTTCTCAAACATACTATAATAGAAGGAACGTTACAGTTATTACCACTATCATGTAAACTTATTCCGCAAACATCTATCTATACGTATATCTCAAAATAATAATTGTTTGGCTATTGAATTTTAGGAATGCTGATATATATCTTTTAGACGATCCGTTGTCAGCAGTGGATATCCACGTATCCAAACACCTGTACGATGAATGCATTAACGGATACCTGTTGAGCAAAACAAGAATTCTGGTGACGCATCAAGTTCATCACCTCAAAGATGCAGATAATATCATTATTTTTAATAATGTAAGTTACAATACGCGGCGCCGAGCGCATGTTTCACTGCATGTGCCTGCAACTAGTTTACATACATGACCAGACACATGTGCTGAGCGCAGACTCTAGACTTTGATATGCAGAACGATTTGTCTGCATAAAAGTGTCGGGCACATGTGTCGGACATGTTGCGATGCATGTCGCAAGTATACCCGGCATATCTTGAGTAATATTCACATTTGCATGCTTACTCTTTCACACTGAAGGTGGGAACAACTCATCTAGGCGAAAATGGAAAGTAAAGCACACGAGTGTGGGCATAACTTTGGGGCAATTCGCAAACTCTGCCACATAATGTCACCGCAACCCAGTAGTGTGAAAAATATGTGTAACTCGGATTCGAGTTGCGTAATTGAGGGTAATTTCTACTTTTAGGGGGAAATCGAAAACCAAGGATCTTTCAAACAACTCTCAGAAAGTGATAATTTATATGCCAAACTTTTGACGGCAGAGCCAGAACATGTCGATGAAGAAAAAGCCAAATTAGGAGATTCTGCGAAAATTCTGAGATCATTATCAATCAAGGTAAGATCTCTTATTATTTAATTCTATGGTAAAACTTGGAGAAATGTGCAGAAATCGAAACCGTATGACTTTTGAGGTTCGTTTGGAAAAACAGATTTCTATCGTTTAGTAGTAGGTTTTGACGTTTCCCGTTATTCTTTTTCAGAGTAGTCGAAAACAGTCGTTGGCAAGTGCCGTTAGCGACCTCAGTATTCCTGAGAGCATCCTCCAGGAGGATGTCGATGAAGACGAAGAAGATAATAAGGTGAACGAAGTAAACCTAAAAGAAATGCAAGAAGATTCCTCAAAGGGGAAAGTGAAAGGATCTGTTTTCATGCAGTACCTGCTGGCAGGCGGTAATATCTGCGTTGTGTCGATCGTGCTGGCTCTGTATGTTCTCGCTCAAGCATGTGCAAGCGGGATTGATTACTTCGTCAGCTATTGGGTGAATATAGAGCAGTACAGGAACGCTAGTAAACCTAACACCACGGAAGATGTCGAGGTAAGTTTCGTTCTATGCACAACTTAGACACGTAACATATAATAATAATAATAATAATAATAATAATAATAATAATAATAATAATAATAATAATAATAATAATAATTTGTATTGGAATGTATATACATAACAAATATATAAACGACAACATTCCAAAAGGAAAGAGGATTGGCACGGCCATTTTTCACCTCCCCCAAAGAAGTCAGTTTCATGAGCATTTATTTAACATTAACAGAGTGATAGGCATTCACAACAAATATTATGCATAACACTGTATATAATACGATATAGTCTGAGTGTTACTGGAAGATAGTGTAGCAACTGCTATGAATTTCATTTGTGGGTTCAAATGTTTGTATCTCTGGTAGCACTTTTTCCATCTTATTAGATATACATATACAAGAACGTATTACTGGATATTATGTGAGAGAAAATCTTTTAAAATCCAAGTATCGTGTATTAACATACTTCAGTATGGAACTCTACTATATAAAGTTTTAAAATATAAATTACCCAGATATCTGTTTATTCCTTTGGAGAAGAGATGTTCACTCCGCCAAGTTTTCTTACGCAATAATGCGTATTTCAATATTCCAGTTCATACAACATCAGAATTCAAAAAATGTTTTACTTACTCGGCACCATATCTACTGAATGATCATTTAGGACTTTTTGAAGCACCTTTCGTCCAAAACTTCAGAAATGAGATGGAAAAAGTGCTACTACAGCTGCAAAGATGTGAATCCACAAATTAAATTTTTGGCGCTTGCTACACTGCCCTCCATTAACACTCAGACTATATCGTATTATATACTGTGTTGTGCATAATATTTGTTGTGAATACTAATCAATCGGTTGATGTTAAAAAACGCTCATGAAGTTAACTTTTTAGGGGGAGGTGAAAAATGGCCCTGCCAATCCTCTTTCCTTTTGGAATGTTGTCGTTTTTATATTTTTATGTATATACATTCCAATAAAAATTATTATTATTATTATTATTACTATTATTTCAGTAGTTTTGGATGGAAGGTGCTTTAAAAAGCTCTAAATAATCGTTCAAAAGATGTGGTGCTGTGTTAGTAAAACATTTTTTTAATTTGGACGTTGTATGAACTTGAATATTGAAATAGGCATTATTGCGTAATGAAACTTGGCGGAGTGAACATCTCTTCTCTAAAGAAATAAACAGATAGCTGGGTAATTTATATTTGAAAACTTTATACAGTAGAGTTCCATACTGAAGCAATACACGGTACTTGAAATTTAAAACATTTTCTTTTACATAATATCCAGGGATATGTTCTTCTTTACGTGTATATATCTTTTACTGAAGGTGTTACAGAAGACGTGCAAGATTCAATGTCTACGAGAAGCATGTGACACGTTGGTTAGAAACAGAAAGAGTGCTCCGTGGCATTTCTGGCTGTGGTGTCTACTTGTAAATGCGCTCGATCTAAATCTTTTTTAACATATGTTTTGCACGCTCTTCTCACTTATCTTTCTCTCTCTATCTCTCTCTCTTGTACCTATTGAAACCCGGCCGGAGTTCTTTTAATGAAAGTACTATCCTGCCGTCATAAGCCACATAGTATCTGCGAATTTCACATTTTGCAGGAGTGACGAGAACGTGTTGTAACCCTTCTGGAATTGTAACGTTTTAAGGAAAAATTATGCTTCTGGTTTGTACCCGCTTAACTACTTTTCAACGAATTCATTAATTTTACCAAAGATGCCCATTTATAAATAAAATAGCATATACTGTAACTACGGGTCATTTACTGTGTTTAAATTTATTGATCTGTAGATACTGTATTGTAATTTAAGATGATAGTACAAATGCTAGATACTGTAAAAGCAAAATTTTAAATTTTCTGTATCTATCATGATATATACTGCCTTTTATTATCGAAATATGCTTACTCTACGTGCCCTTTCATAGTAGGGTTGTCCAATAGGGACGCAGGAAAGCAAACGTCAATTTGACATAGACGCCATCTTTGTTTTCTGTCACCGACATGTCATTTTGTTAGTTGAATGTTTACCATTGATCGCTATGGAGTCGTATTCGATTGAAGACCGCATTAAAGTTATTCAAGAGCACTACAAAAATGATGCAAAAATAAAAAACACGTTTCGCGCGCTTCGTGGACATTTCGGTCGCAACAACCGCCCAAACGAAACAACCATCGGTCGTCTGGTGCGTAAATTCGAGGCAACAGGTTCTGTGGCAAATCTGCCAGGCTCTGGCCGGCCAAGGAGCGTTCGCACACCGGAAAATATTGCTGTTGTGAAGGAGAGTGTGAGAGACGATCCGAAACAATCAACAACGCGTCGATCCCAAGAATTGGGCATTTCGAGAACCAGTTTGCTCCGCATTTTCCACAAGGATTTGAATGTATACGCCTACAAGATCCAATTGACGCAAGAGCTACGTCGGGCCGACCATTTTTCGCGCCGAACGTTCTCAGATTGGCTCCTTGAACACCGCCAAATTGATGCCAATTTTTCATCAAAAATCATGTTCAGCGACGAAACGCATTTCACTTTGAATGGGACGGTAAACAAGCAAAACTGCCGCATCTGGGCGAACGAAAATCCCCGTGAGTATCAAGAGCAGCCGATGCATCCTCAAAAAGTGACTGTGTGGTGTGCATTGTGGTCAAAAGGCATCATCGGACCTTACTTTTTCGAAAATGCGGCCGGGGACGCCGTTACCGTAAATTCTGAGCGATATCACGTGATGATAGAGGACTATTTTTTGCCGCAACATGAAGGAATGGATATGGACGATGTTTATTTCCAACAAGACGGTGCAACATGCTACATAACCAACGTCAATATCCATCGATTGCAGTCCTTCTTCGGTGATCGCGTGATTTCGCGCAGAGGAAATGTGCCATGGCCACCAAGATCGTGCGATTTGACTCCCTTGGACTTCTTTTTATGGGGATATTTGAAAAGCAAAGTCTACGTCAACAAACCAGCCACCCTCCAAGAACTCAAAAACAACATCATTGCCGAGATAAATGCCATAGAACCGACCATGTTGCAAAACGTTATTGAAAATTTCGACCATCGCGTGGACGTCTGTAAATCCAGTCGTGGTGAACAGTTGAGCGATATTATTTTTCATACATAATGGTATAAATGAACCTTCAAAATAAAGTACCCAACATATAATGACGATATGTGATGTTCACATTTTTTGCACTTACTGCGTTCTGGCTTATGACGGCAGTATAGACCTTACGACCTTTTTATTCTTTCTTGTCGACAGTAGTTTCTGTTGCCCGAAGAGCTTATTCTTCTGCTTTGTCGTTTCTTCCCTTTTTTGTTGTGGGTTATTTATTACTCTACTCGCGACCTGTTTCACTTGTTTACCCCATTATGGCTATACAGGGTGTTCCTTAATGATATGCGAATATTTAGGAGTGTGAATCTACATGAAAAATGAATGTTAGCTTGCTTTATAAGCTATGGTCCAAAAATGTTTCCTTACAAAAACTCAGGGTGTTGAAGTTTTAAGAAAAAAAATGGAAACTAATTAATATTTTCAGAACCGCTTCAGATATTTTACTGATATTTAGTACCTAGTGAAAGTTGATAAAGTTGCATATTTTACAATGCAAAAATAATTTTTAGCTTTAACAGTGGCGTGCGTACGGGTATTGACTTCGATATTTTTTAAGAAAAAAATGGTACGCCTCTTGAATTGTTTTCCTTTGATGTGCCATTTTTAATTAAAAAAATAAAAACCATCCTATTGTCCGAGAAAATTAATGTAATAATTGAAGAATGCAATTTAGCAATAAATATCTAGTTGCTCTGGAATATGTCACTGGCTTTTGACATCTGACAAGTCTCTGTTATTCAAATCTGTTCGCTGTGACATCTTTTTCATTATTTAGTTTTTACAGTCTTGTAAATAATGGTGAATTAATCAAATGCAGAAATGGCGAAAATGCATTACGTATATGGCCCTGCCGACGGTAATGGTGAGCAAGCCAGACAGATTTATCACCAGAGATATCCCGTTCGTGCTTTGCCAGATAGTCGAACCTTTTCCAATATTCATCGTCGTCTTGTTGAAACTGGTTCTGTCCGTAAAGGAGCACCTGAAGGTAGACCTCTAAGTATGAGAACACCTGAAATTGAGGAAGCAGTGCTGAACGAAGTCGAAGAACATCCTGAAACGAGTACGAGACATCAGTATCGCTAGACACTTAAATATTTGCCATCAAATTGTTTGGAGAATTTTAGTCTATTTTTTGTTATATCCTTACCATGGGCGAAGCTAGTATTTCTCGAAATGCCATTCAGAACTTCCGCAATAATCATTTGTGAGCAGAAGAAAATCCCTATGTCGTAACACTAACCCATTTCCAATACCAATTTTCGATTAACGTATGAGCAGGAATTATTGGCAACCACTTTATTGGCCCATTCTTCTTGCCGAGATGACTTGACGGACATTTGCCTCAATTTTCTTCAACAACAGTTGCCTTCGCTGCTTGATGATGTTCCGTTAGTAATAAACAATATTTTGTACATGCATGATGGTGCACCAGCGCATTTCAATGTAGCGGTTTGTAATTATTTACAAACTGTTTATCCAAATCGTTGGATTGGCTGCGATGGGCTCCAAGAATGGCCACCAAGGCCCCCAGACCTCAACGGTTTAGATTTCTTTTTGTGGAGCTTCTTAAGACACTAGTGTACACAAGTCCCATTAACACTGTAGAGGAATTAGGAGAAAGAATAGTTGAAGACACACACTCCAGAGATATTTCAGAGTGCGCAATTCCATGAGAAGGAGGGCTGAAGCGTGCATACTAAGTGTAGGGGGCCATTTTCTACAATTTTTGTAATCATTTTGATGGTTTAATGTGTTATTAATGATGTGTTTAATTTTTCCAATTAAATTAATAATAATATTGCAAGTTAGACAATAGAACGGTTTTATTTTTTTTACTCAAAAATGGCGCATCGAAAGAAAACAATTCGAGGAAGATCATTTGTTTTAAATTAAACGGGGAATTCAAAAATAATTTTTATTAGGCAAAAAACCATTGGCGTACCATTTTTTTCTTAAAAAATATCGAAGTCAGTACCCGTACGCACGCCACTGTTAAAGCTAAAAATTATTTTTGCTTTGAAAAATATGCAACTTTATTAACTTTCACTACGTACTAAAGCGGTCCTGAAAATATTAATTAATTTCCATTTTTTCCTTAAACTTCAACACCCCGAGTTTTTGTAAGGAAACATTTTTGGACCGTAGTTTATAGAGCAAACTAACATTAACTTTCATGTAGATTCACACCCTTAAATATTCGCATATCATTAAGGAACACCCTGTAATAGCTGTTAGATGTGGTTTTTAAATCAAATTGTAATTCCAAATATACCTTTGTACTATTAGTATGCGGGTATCCAATTCAAACGATATTTTCGTTCCTTCAGGTAAAACCGTATCAGGACTGGTCAACCGAAATCTGCCTCTACATCTATGGAATTGGTTTAGGACTATTATTCGTCATAGCCTTGGCAAGGTCTATGGGATTTTATATGCTGGCAATGAGAAGTTCTATGAGACTACATAACCAAATGTTCAGTAGCGTGATAGATTGTACGATGAGGTTCTTCGACACAAACCCTAGCGGAAGGATTCTCAATAGGTTTTCCAAGGATTTGGGTGCCGCAGATGAACTTTTGCCAAAAGTTGTTCTGGATGCCGGACAGGTATGTTATAATTTCTAGATGAAACATTTTGTATAGTGTGATTCTTTTGCAGATTCTTCTTATCATGGTGGGTGCTCTGGTGCTGGTCACTATCGTCAACCCTTACTTCCTAATAGTAGTTGCAGTCATAGCATTCTTCTTTGGAATCATGAGGCACATATTCCTGAAGTCTTCCAAAAATATCAAACGATTAGAGGGAATTAGTAAGTAGCATCATAATAAGTATCATCTTTAGCCAATTACCTCGACGCTTTGACTGGGGTCGAACTAGTAATACAAAACAATTAAATTTTGAAATAAACCTGTTTTTTCTTCAGTGAGAAGTCCGGTGTTCACTCATCTGAATGCGACCATACAGGGTCTGACCACGATTCGATCATTTGGTGCTCAGGATATTTTGAGAGATGAGTTCGACAAGCACCAGGACTGTCATACGAGCGCTTGGTTTATGTATATTGCCGCCAGCTCTGCATATGGATTCTACCTCGATATATTTTGCTTCATCTTTGTTTCTCTTCTTACGTTCAGTTTCCTGGCATTCGGAGAAAGTAAGTACAGGTTATAGTGAATTCAAACATGATTGTTTCATTTATGAAACGTTAAATGTAACTTTGAATCAGAGTAATGGTGGCTTCATGCAAGACTTAACGTAACTTAACTTAAAATGAGCATTTAAAGCGCATGTGCTAGGATTGCCAGTGTAGCAATGGCGACTATAATCAAATTCAAGCGGATAACCAAATGAAAATGGTATTTACACTTTTGGATTGGTATTACGATCCGTGACGTCATGAATCAGCTGTTATATGTCATAGTTATCACCGCAAAATTGTGGTATTTACCCAACTCAGGAGTAGTTTTATATTTCTGGTTATTATTTGAAATGTGACAAGTTAGAATTTTACCGGGTATTGGATATTGTTATTGTATTTCAGCTTCATTTTTGGGAAACTTGATACAGGCTGACTTCAGTTTTACCATAAAGTTGAGCACCTTTTTAGTCATACTCATTACTGTTGTTGATGGGGACACTTTAAATGTAGTTCCTATGCTTAACAAAGTATCCTGTGTAGGCATATACCACAAGAATATTAAAATATGGCCATATAAACTCATTAGATGATGTCCACCTGTATACGGTTTTGCTAATATCTTTTTTCATCATTTCTGCTGAATCAATAAATGTTTTCTTTGACATGCGGAAAACTTTAGAGAATTGAAAGTTATCATAGCTACAAAGCCATGGTTCCATCATTCAAAAAAAATCTGAAAAAAACATTTCTCCCATGAATATTATGAAAGGTTTCTTATTTAAACTTTCCATATACAGTTGTAGACGAAAAAGCACCGATTATTAAGTGATAATAAAAATAATCAGAGATTATATACGCGCTTTTCTAAAATAAACAACTTGCAACAAAACCGCGGTTAAAACCAACGCGTTCAAGCGATTCGTGTAAATGACGTCATCTTCAACCCGTGTGCCATCTTGAACCATATTATAACCGCGGCACATAACACAGAAATTTTGGTTATTCGCTTGGATGTGATTAATATCAACATTAAACACACTAATAAAATCATACGTTTAACGTCAAAGTAGCAGATGAAAGAGTGTCAGTCGTCCATACAATTGTAGGGCGCCTTTATGGCCTCCTTGATTGTCATAGTTTTCTACTTCTCCGTGTCAGAACTCTATTTTGAGGTTATGTCACAAACATCTATTTGCATCAAATTGTGCTTTTGAGTTATATCATGTTTTATCAGCCTGACATTTCCTACAATTTAAAAAGAAAACATATCTTCACAATAGGACAGCGCTGATGCTGACACGGGACAAGTGTAATCTAGAAATTTTTGAAGGAGAGAAATCAGTATCACAATCAAGGAGGCCATAAACGCGCCCTACAATAATTGTAGGGACGACTGACGATACGGGCCTTAGGGACCTGCCTTGACATTGACAAGTGGCCCCTCCCCACACGCTTGCGCCAATGCACTGGTAATCAGTCACAGAACTCGGATAATAGTCCAGATAATATCGGAACACCTACTCGGAAAACTTCCGATTTTTGCATAATCTGATTCAAGGACCTCTGTTAAAGAATCTGCATGTGACTAGGCCCAAAATTGCTCCAAAAATTGTTATTAAACCGATTCCAAAAATTGATTTGTTCGCTATGCTTAAACTATTTTGCGGTTTTTAGGACATTCTGAACAAAAAATGAGCTTTTGAACTTTTTTCTATATATATATATATATATATATATATATAAGTATATAAGTAAATGTAAAAACTGAAAATATGCCATTTGCTACCCCAAAAACAATATGAAAAATGAATATTTTGATGTTGACAAATCTCGCACATGCCTCAACGAACCAATAACAAAACCCCCAGAGCATTTTAAGGAGTACAGTTATTGTAAATATTTGCATAGTGATTGTGAATTAGACGCGAGAGAGAGATGAAATATCTCTCGTGCACGTTGAGCGTGCGCTTGCATTTCAATTAAATACAAAGATTTATAATAACAGTATCTCCCAAATAGTATCGCAATTGTGTTAATGGTTATTTATGAAGCATGACGACATTAACATTTTCGTTTTTTTAGACCGTTTTTAGGTATCGCAAAAGCAATTTTTTGTACTTTCCCGTCTCGTACAAAATCAACTTTTGACAAATATTGTCAAACATCGTTTTGTTTCGGAGTATCAAAAAAAAAAAACGTATGCTACCTTTGATGAAGCGAAATCATTAATTTTTGGAATTTATTTGAAAAAGTTGTACCTACAAACAATTTGGGGCCTGAGGCAATTCGATGATCATAGATGCATAACACATCCTCAATAAAGGAAGTATTTCTTTCATCAATTTGGCTAGTAATGAATTTCAGGATAATAAAAAAATGTATAATTAATAAAATATTTATTGAACAGTCCCAGCAATAATAGAACAAATTCTTCATTACAATACATTGTACATATACAGGGTGTCCGGAAAAAAGTGTGCAATATTCTATCAGCGCTTTCTAGAGCTTAAAATAGAAAGAAAAGTTTATATAAACATAGGTCGACAAACGTCCCCTAAGGGCGCTACGATCTTTTAAAGGGGCTCCCCTGAAGATGGTTTTTTCTTAATATTTCCGAAACGTGTTGAGATAAAGACATAAAATTTAGTATTCCAGCCTAGTTTCCTATGCTGGATTTAAAAATATTAACAATTTTAAACAGTTTTGATTGGAAGCGTATGTAGCAGGGACGGACTCAGGTTATTTTAGCCCCAAAATTTCTATTTCTATTTTTGAAATTCAATTTTAGAATTTGAAAATTTAGGGTTTTCTACATAAAAAAGGTACTCTTATTGAATATCGATAAATTGTGCCATTTTTGAATAAAATCAAACTAAAAAATTTGTCACATGATAGGAAATGTACTGCGAATTTAAATGAATTGTTGATTATACATAGTTAGCCATGACTGCAAGCAAAAGTTGTTTTGATTTGTTATGACTTATTTTGACGTTAAGCTGACATTGTTAGCAGTGTAAAATTACTAGATTAAAATCAAAATTTTTATTAAATTGATTTAAAATGCCAAGATTTACAGACAGAGAACTGACTGACATGCATTTTGTGTACGGGTTTTGCAATGGCAGTTCATTGGCAGCCGTAAGAGAATATCAAAGAAGATTTCCCAATCGCATAGTACCTGGACGTCGAATGTTTACTGATATTCATCGGAATTTGTCAAACCTTGGAAGTTTTCAGCATGCAGGGCTTAGGAAGGCCACTGGGAAATCATCGTATGGATATTGCTTTAAATATGTTTGAAAATAATCCGCAAATAAGCATACGAAATGTTTCAGAAATTACGGATATACCTCGATCAATAGTAAGAAAAATTTATGAATACCTATTTGATAGTTATCCCAAAAATAATAATTTTAGATAGGAAGAATGACAAGAATGCAAGTATTACATCCTTATAATTTTAAACGGTTGCAGCATTTAACGGAGGCAGATTTTTTACCACGAATCGATTTTTGCCAGTGGATATTAGCAAATGAAAACACTATTCCTAGAATATTATGGTCGGATTAGTCAATATTTACTAGGAATGGTGCTTTTAATTTCTATAACATGCATCACTGGTCAGATGAAAATCCAAAAGTTGTTCGCCGTACAAATTTCCAACATAGATTTTCATTGAACTTATGGGCAGAAGTAATTGGGGATCAAGTAATTGGGCCTATTGTACTTCCCAATCGTCTTAATTCAGAGGTGTATCTGAACTTTCTTCAGAATGAGCTCATGGATATAATACCATTGGATGTGCACCAGCAGTTTCAAGAAAATATGTTTTTTCAACATGATGGCGCCCATGCACGTTTTGGACGCAATGTTCGAAATTGGTTGAATGTCAATTTTCCAGACAGGTGGTTAGGCCGAGGAGGTCCTATAGCGTGGCCGCCACGCCACGTTCACCTGAGCCAAATCCATTCGATTTCTTTTTTGGAGGTCATCAAAAGACCTAGTTTACTTGACTAAAGTAAATACTCAAGAAGATTCACTTCAAAGAATCCTTCATGCTGCAAATGAAATAAGAAGAAAAAGGTTTTCCACTTTTCGGGCTACGCAATCATTAGTTCGTCGAGCGAGACTCTGTATCCAACAAAATGGGAATTTATTTGAACGTCTATTGTAAAGCTAGTTTTAAGTATATCCAACTGTATGTCTTCTGTTTTAAACAAATTTCAATGTCGTTCGTAGAAAAAAATTATTTCTTTTATTTTTGCCTAAATGTTGCAATAGAAATATGTATTTATGTAATATTTACCAATTATTAAATTAGTTTTTTCGTTGCCACGACTAATTATTCAACAATTCATTTAAATTCGCAGTACATTTCCTATCATGTGACAAATTTTTTAGTTTGATTTTATTCAAAAATGAAAACCCTAGATTTTTAAATTCTAAAATTGTATTTCAAAAATAGAATCACACAAAAATTTTGGGGCTAAAATGACCTGAGTCCGTCCATGTTACATACGCTTCCAAACAAAACTGTATAAAATTTTTAATATTTTTAAATCCAGCATAAAGAACTAGGCTAGAATACCAAATTTTATATCTTTATCTCAACACGTTTCGGAAATATTAAGGAAAAACCATCTTCAGTGGAGCCCCTTTAAAAGACCGTAGCGCCCTTAGGGGACGTTTGTCGACCTATGTTTATATAAACTTTTCTTCCTATTTTAAGCTCTAGAAACCGCTTATTGTTCACTTTTTTCGGGACATCCTGTATAGAAGTATTCTACCCATCTGGATTTTTTCTCTAAATTATGAACCTGATCAGTGCAATATCATGCAAGCACTATCTCTTGTTAATTGATCATGTATATTTATTGCGGAAACATAAATACTAAAATAAGAAAGGATCCATGTGTAGTTAGAGGACTGACTGAAATACAAATATAATCTCTGTGATATGTGAATCAAAAACATCTTGAGGTAGCCCTAAAACAAAACATTATTCGGCGTACCATTTTAAGATAAACGAACAAAGCCCAATAATGCGACGCCAAGTACGTCCCAGAGATAAATTCCAGGAACGACCCCAATGAGGTGATCGCTGAAATGCCTCTAGGTTTACCAACCACCCAATATTACTTAATGGTCAGAAGTCAAAAAGACTAAGCAACTACATATTTTCCTTACTTACAGCTTTTGGTATGCGAGGTGGTGAAGTAGGATTGGCAATCACTCAGGCCATTGCATTGACAGGCTCAGTTCAGTGGGGTATGAGACAGTCAGCTGAAGTAGCCAATCAACTAATGTCCGTGGAAAGAATCTTGGAGTACAAAAATTTGCCCAAGGAAAAGCAGCCTGAGCAACCTAAGGAACCGCCTAAAGACTGGCCTGCCAAAGGGGAGATCACTTTCAGAAATATGGGTCTATCTTATGTAGAGGGCGGTACATTGGTTCTGAAAAATTTGAATCTGACAATCAATCCAAAGGAGAAGGTATGGTCATTCAAACAAGATTAAAAAATTTAGTGCTGAGGAATTTCGAAATATGCAAATTCCTAATTTTTTCAAACCTCTTCAGGCTTGCTTTTAAACAATATTCCTCAGAGGGATATTGTTTCATGATCGTGAGAATCGAAATCATATTTTGGTGAAGAATAAATTATTGATACAAATTGATAGAGATATATGGATGTTCTTGTGTTATTATACATGTAGTTTATTTCAAAATGTTCCAGAAATATATTATATAATACAGGACTGAGTGAAGATGCCATTGTAATAAAAATATTCTGTTCATAAAATTTGTCAAGCAACTGAAAGTAGGTTGATTTGAGGGAAACATCGAGAAAATCTATTATAATGGGTGATTTTTTGGCTAGTATCTGTTTGGCAACACTGTTTTTGACAGATGACGCGTGAATCGTGTCTAGTGTCATTGTCAAACTTGTTCAGTTTGGTCTATAATTTAACCATGAATCGACTTACGAACGAACAACGCTTGCAAATTATTGAATTTTACTATCAAAATTCATGCTCGGTTAAGAGAGTGCATCGAGCACTGCTTCTAATTTATGGGCAATTTGGTCGGCCTACTGAGGGAGCTATTCGGAAGCTTGTGACTAAATTTCGAACCCAGTTTACCTTATTGGACATTAAACCACCAACACGCAGACGTAGAGTGAGGACTGAAGAAAATATTGCGGCTGTATCCGCCAGTGTTAGTGATGACCGTGAAATGTCGATTCGCCGCCGTTCGCAGCAATTGGGCCTCAGTTACTACACTACGTGGAAAATTTTGCGACAGGATTTGGGTGTAAAACCTAATAAGATACAGCTGGTGCAAGAATTGAAGCCACACGACGTCCCACAATGTTTCCCATTTGGTGAATGGCCGCTGGCAAAGATGGAGGAAGATCCACATTTTTATCGAAAAATTGTGTTCAGCGACGAAGCTCATTTCTGGTTGAATGGGTACGTTAACAAGCAAAATTGCCGCATCTGGAGTGAAGACCAGCCAGAAGCATTGCAAGAGCTACCAATGCATCCCGAAAAAAACCACTGTTTGGTGTGGATTATGGGCCGGTGGCATCATCGGGCCGTACTTCTTCAAAGACGACAATGGCCGGAACGTAACTGTGAATGGCGAGCACTACCGTGCGATGATAACAAACTTTTTTTGCCCAAAATGGAAGAGCTGAACTTGGCTGACATATGGCTTCAACAAGACGGTGCCACATGCCACACCGCACACGAAACAATGGCCCTATTGAGAGGCAAGTTCGGGTGAACAGTTTATCTCACGTTTGGGTCCCGTCAATTGGCCGCCTAGATCGTGTGATTTAACGCCGTTGGACTATTTCTTGTGGGGCCATGTTATGGCTAATGTCTAGAGGGATAAACCACAAACGATTGACGCACTGGAAGCCAATATTGAAGCATTTATTCGTGAGATACCGGCCGATATGTTGGAGAGTGTGCCAAAATTGGACCTTGCGCATGGGCCATCTAAAGCGGAGCCGCGGCCAACATTTACATGAAATAATCTTCAAAAATTATATTATATCGACCGTTCTAACGACTCAAATAGAGATTTAATCGTTTTTTCAAATTTTTTGTGTTTTTTTTTTGAAAATCAAATCCTATACCTCTTAAAAAATCACCCGCTACCTTCTGGTTTTGGTTTTGTACGCTCTGACAAATTATTATCATTATTCAGTAGTACTTTTAGTATTTCGAGTGGATAATTTTCCTAAAAATCATGGGCTGTTTTTATACACGATTCTGTTTTGTTTGCTAATGGATTTATAAGTTACAAGTATTTACGTAATTTGCTACATGAGTTAATTGAACTTGCTATTGAGCTTAATGGAATATAAGGTTGAGGCATTCCAGGTAGTCCATAGAAATGTTGTGGCTTACTATAGTGACTAGTAAGGGGTGCTCTTACTTGGCTAACTCAAATATAAAAAGTATGAAAGCGAGTTCACTAGCCGAAAAAGAATATTCCTTACTAGTCGCCTACCAAATTTTTATTGACTACCTAAAATATTTACATGAACCTAGTATTCCATTAAGTTCAATTAACTCAGGTAAATACTTGTTAACTAGTATAAATCAATTAGCTTACAAAACAGAATCGTATATAAAGAACAGCCAACACTTTTTAGAAAAATCAACGTCCAACTCAATACTAATAATTTCGTAAAGGTATTTTTGGTGCAGAAGGTATTATTTCCACTAATGTATCAGTTGATAAAATTCACGAAATACTCTTTTTTGTTGTTGTTGAAGATTTATTTAGCATTAATGCTACAATATCAATTTTGTATAATGATTCGGTTACATATTTTTCTTCAATCCATTTTCTGTTTTACATTCTTCTTTATTAAAATTAAAATTACGTCACTATGTATTTTGATTATTCAAAAGTGATTTTTTAATTTCACCTTGAACATTTTTAAATTTGAACTTTGTTTAATATCATTATTCAATTTATTAAATTCAAATACTCCCTTTTGAAATATAGATTTACTAGTTATGCTACTATTACAATTTTGCAGATGAAAATCTATACTGCCTCTAGTTTCGTAGTTATTGTAATTGACTATTTAATTTTGTTTTAATTTAAATGCAGTGGTAATAAATGGTTTTTCAATTTGAATATGAAAACGAGAACTAAATAATATATGAAATTTTTCACATCCAACCACTGCAGTTCTTCTAAGATAGACTTAATCCTAGTATACTTGTTTTATTTAAAATGATTCCCACAGCTTTATTTTGTAGAATTTGTAATTTTGAAAATATGTTTTCATTTGCTGTAAATAAGATGGTTGAACAATATAAAAAATGGGGAAGAATTATAGTGTTATACACAATTTTTTTGGAATACATGCTAAGATTATGGGAAACTCTATAGAAGTAATTTATCTTTTTCGATATTTTTGAAATAAGTAGCTTACTATCCACTATCCACATATATACCAAGATATTTAAATGACTCGACTACTTAAATTTTTTCATCATTAATCATGAGCCAAATTGTATTGTCACCTAAATGTGTCCCTATTGACATACATTTTGTTTTATTAATGTTTCATTTAAGTTTATTGACTTTTAACCAATTCATAATTTTTTCAATATCAATATTTAACAGTTCTAAATCAGTGTCCAAGTGCTTATGTGCTATATATATAAGTGTATCGTCCGTAAATATTTGAATTTTGCAGTGTTTCAAAATGTCAGAGATATCATTTATATAAGTAATAAATAGTAACGGCCCTAATTTACTCCCCTGTGGCACTCCTACTGATATATTTTTAATACTTGACATAATATTTCCAACTTTAATTTTTTGACTTATATTTACTAAATAATTTTGTAATGTAAACTATGATAATAGTTTATCTGATCGTATAAATGTTTGTTTCAAATCAACATACTGTCAGTTACATGACAAATTTTATGAACAGAATTTTGGTATGACAATGAGACCTTTGCTCAGACCTATATTAAGTACTATATTTCTAGAATATATGAATGTGTCGAAAATATCAGGAAGGTCTACTTGATCTACTCTTATTGAAGGCCTGTTGGTTTCAGGTCGGTATAGTTGGAAGAACAGGGGCGGGAAAATCCTCCCTCATATCTGCGTTGTTTCGACTTGCAAATGTCGAAGGAGAAATCATTATCGACGACATCGATACTAAATTGCTGAAACTTGAAAACTTGCGATCCAAGATCTCTATCATTCCCCAGGTCAGTACACCTAATAGTTTACAATATTACGATACCATACCAGTAGTGCGTAACTACTTCGACAACTTGCCATACATACAACTGACCATACTATTTAACTTCAGGACCCTGTGCTGTTTTCCGGTACTCTAAGATACAACCTCGATCCCTTCGACCAGTATTCCGATGAGGTCCTGTACAAAGCTATCGAGGACGTAGAACTAAAGAATCCTGCCAACATCATCAACCGATTGGAGAATAGAGTTATGGATAGAGGCTCAAACTACAGCGTTGGACAAAGGCAGCTGATATGTTTAGCTAGAGCTATCATCAGGAACAACAGGATCCTAATGTTGGATGAAGCTACCGCTAATGTAGATCCACAGTAAGTATGAAAATCGTAGTAGGTTTTGCTATATGTTGATTAGTTTATACTTGATTTAGTTCAGAGAACAATCTGAAGTATCAGTGGCAGGTTTGGAATCATACTTATCCCAGCAAACGATTGTAATATAGACATACTTCCCAAATAATAATATGTCCATGTCCAGATATCCATAGCTTGCCACACTGTAACTGTGTCAAACATGAAGAGGCTGCTGCAGTTCTTTGTTATCAACGATATGATCACTGACATGATCACTGCTGTGATATTGAAACTGCGTTTCTTCCGTTCTTTCTATGCCTCATAACAGATGTCCTTGAAGTCCGGTATTTTCCCAACAAACTGGTATTTAGCTCATGTTTAGACCATTCCAAGAAATACCGTCATGTAGATTGACCATGCACTTCCAACGCAATTAAAAAATCAATGAGATCCTCGCAAGAAATCATATGGCGGGTAGAGAAAGTAAGTGCAATGTTTCAGTCAGTTTACAAATGCCATACAATCTCTTTAGGAACAAATGACTAGACTACTTGAAGGCTACATTTTTTTTTGTCCTGTTATATGGGGTTGCATCTTTGACCTTGATAAGACAAACTATTAAAAAACAAGAAGCCTTCGAAATGATGTGTTTCTATCGTGCAATCGAAAATATGCCATGTTACCAACGAGCTGGTATTGCGCAGAATAAAGAAATGGCGTCAGGTCTCATACAATCAGTCCATACTCCAACAATGCGAACTCATCTACTGCCCAACCGGCAGCACTGACCAGCCAGCAACTGCTCAATCCAACACGAGGTTATACAGTGAAATTCATCTACTTTTGCGGTTTTGGCTTTCAGTGTACGAGAGAGAGAGAGAGAGAGAAGCGTGCAGCACCAATGCAACACGTATGCTAGAAAGAGTGCGTCATATATGCGTCGCTACCACGTTGCCTGGCAACGACAGTGGGGAGGGCGCGGAGCACGACTGTATGGTGGCAACGTTGTCAAGCAACGTGGTGACGACTCTTGTAGGGAGCACTATTCCTAACATACGAGTTACATTGGTGCTGAACGCTTCTCTCTCTCTCTCTCTCTCTCTTGCACACATTGAAGACCAAAATGAATTTCACTGAATACACGGATACAAACGGATATTAACAAATATGTCTGATAGATGCGTAGAATTACCGGGATTGGAAACAAAAAAATTGATAAAGATATATATATATATATATACAGTGTGGCCCATCCATCCCCATCAATATTACTCATAAACAAATACATTTTGGCAAAATCTATTGTTGGGATGTTATACATGACATTTGACGGCACATTTCTAAAACATTGGCCATTATACAGGGTGTCCCAATTTCGACCTACATATCAAAGATTTGATTTTTCAAATGGAATGGCTCAAATTGTATTGCATATTTGGATAAACCAATTCAAAAGAAGGAAATTGATATAACACCTATGGGGTTTTGGCTCGGGTTTTGGTAATTAGTTACTGAGATATAAGGTGTTTTGTCTAGAAAAACCCCCCACTGCGGCAACCCCTCAGTCCGCCATTTTGAAATTTGGAGTGCTGAATTTTGTATAAAGAAAACTGAGACACGTCAGCTTTCATCTTATTTGTTACTTTTTCGAATTTTGATGTTTGCTCATACAGGGTGGTCAAAAACGCAAATTGGAGTTTTTGCATGAAATGCATCATGCTGTATATTTGTGCAAGTTTGGATTCAGCTTTTTATAAGCTTTTTCTGATACTAGACACAAGGGTTTTTACGGCTATTTCTTCTGTTATTAGCACGTCTTTTATGGAACGGCTTAATTCCTTAAAATATCGCAACATCCTTGGAAACAAATAAATTGTTGACTAGTTACAAACTGTCAAAATTAGCTTTGTGAACATTATAATAAAAACGTGTTTGAAAATGAATTTTTCTAAAGAAGAAATGGTGAAAATGGTGTTCGTTTTGGGCCAAGCCCAAAGAAATAGTTTCCTAGCATCTCGCATTTATAAGCAACGGTACCCTAATATGCGATTTCCAAGGCCGGAAACATTTTCCACACCACGAGAACGTTTTGAATCAAGTGGAGCAGTGGAATATAGTAAAAAATGTATAAATAATCCAAGTGTCACCAATGAGGCGAATCAGTCTATTAAATTTGCAGGAAAATTCCCATTGAAGTGCACGACAAACTGGAGCAGAAACTGATATATGCAGAACTTCTGTCCAAAGGATTATTCACAAGCATAGGTACCATCCATTCTTGTATCAAGGCCTTCGTCCTCAGGATTTCGCAGCTCGAATGGACTTTAGTAGAATAATGCTAAATAAACTGAGTGAAGACACTACTTTCCTGGATAAGGTTCTTTTTGGTGATGAGGAAACTGTTAACAGCATAGATGTTGTCAACAGGCATAACATGCACTATTATTTCGACGGAAAACCCGTACTGGGTTAGGCAAATAGATTTCTAAAATAAATGGACCTTGATGTTTGGGGAAGAGTTTTTGGCAGACAAGTTGTCGGGCCTTTCAGTTTCGACAACAGATTAATAGATACAGATTACTTGAATTGTTGATCGAGCATTTTCCTTTGCTTTTGGAGGATGTCAACACACACACACACATCCACCTACCCTGTGCGGTCCCTCCACCACCCCTGTTCCAGGCTGCATGGTTCAGGCCGCTGCGCATTCCCCGAGTGTGTGCTGCCGAGCGAGCTACCCTCCTCCCTATTTTTCCCCTTTTTCCCGAAATTTTACTCGATCGCGCACGCGTCGCGGAAGCACGTGGTGGACGTTTCATCCAACTGTCGGTTCTCGACTTTTATGGACGCCCTCTTTCTTGGGGGTCCTGAGCTGGGGGCTTTGACCTAAGCCCCGCATTAAGGTTGGTGAGCCTTCGCTCTTTCCTCGTCGACTGGAGTCAGTCAGTCGGTAGTCAGTCAGTCATATGCTGTTTGTCTTCGTCTCCTGAGGTTAGCCCCGAGTCCGTGCTTGACTCTGGTCACCTCAATCGACAGGCTTCTTTTTGTCCACCCGTTGTACACGGGCTGTTCTTTCCCCTCTTGGGTGTACAACTATTGTCCGTCTTTTCCCCTTTTTTGGGCTGCTAGGGCCAAATTTCTTCTTGTTGCAGCTGGCTTTTCGGTCTTTTATGACGGTTCTTGGGTCGTAATCCAAGGCGTCTTTAATCAGCACATTTCGGTGTCTTTCGTTCTTTTCAAAGAACTTTCGGGCCCTCTCTCTCATCTGGATTACGACCGGTACCTGTCGTAGTTCGTCATATAGCACTCTGTTAGGTACATACCACGGTGCGTCCACCGCGTCACGGAGTGCTATGTTTTGTTGAGCTTGGAGCCTCTTCTTCAACGTTTTGGAAACGTAGCCCCAAGCTACACTGCTGCATAAGTTATGATTTGGAGCAGCACCGTCTGAATCATGATGGTCTTATTCTTTAAAGACACTTTGCTTCTTCTGCCTATTAAAGGTCTTAGTTTTGAGCGAAGGAGGATGTCAACCTGCAAACTCGGATGCATATATACTTCCTACATGACGGGGCACCTGCGCATTAGCGTAATCGTGTGCGTAACTATTTGCACACCTGGAGTAACAATCATTGGATCGGTCGTGATGGGCCTATATTTTGGCCTGCTAGATCACCAGATTTGACACCGATGGACTTCTTTCTATGGGGCTACGTTAAGCAAGAGGTTTATAAATATCCACCATCTACCCCGGAAAATATGAAGGAAATGATTAAGGATGCTTTTCTGAGCATAAAGGAAAACATGCTGAAGGATGTGCAACGGTCATTTATCCAAAGACTACGGCTGTGTATTTAGCATGGTGGAGATATTTTTGAGCAGTTTTTGTAGATTAGGTCTTGAGTACTGATAGTTGTTTATGTTGTTGTCATAGTTATTTTTCTCTATTACGCTTGAAGCTGATTTATGCTATTCTGATTGTTATTAGTTCTTACGTTAAATCTATACTCTTAGTGGCAATATGGAACTAGCCCACTGTTTGTCTTTTTTTCCATGGATGACGTGATTTTTTTCCTTAATTTTGGTGTGTTGTTCTATTAAAAGCTTAGTAACTCAAAATTTAGTGATTTAGTCTGAATCAAACCTTATACCAAAAAAAGCTTATAAAAGATTGAATCCAAACTTGCACAAATATTCAGGGCGATGCATGTGAAATTTTTGAGAAAAAGTACAATTCGCGGTTTTGTTCACCCTGTATGAGCAAAAATGTAAATTCGAAAAAGTAACAAAGAGAATAAAGGTTGAGGTGTGTAAGTTTTTTTATACAAAATTCGGAACGGATTGAGGGGTTGCCGAAGCGGACGGTTTTTCTGGACAAAACACCTTACATCTCAGTAGCTAATTACCAAAACCCCGTAGTATGTTATATCAATCTTCTTCTTTTGAATTTGTTTATCAAAAAAAGCAATAAAATTTGAGGCATTCCATTTAATAAATCACAACTTTGATATGTAGGTCAAAATTGGGACACCCTGTATAATTGCCAATATTTTAGAAATGTGCCCTCAAATGTCATGTATAACATGCCATAAATAGACTTTCGCAAAATGAATTTGTTTATGAATTATATTCCGTCCATTCATCGATGGGCCATTCTGTATATACAAGTTGAGTCATTTATTTTAACGGTGAGTAGATCTGATCAAAAGAAATGTTTTTTTCCTTTACCATTTTTCTGGTAAAATTAAAGTAACAAAGTTATAGCCCTTTGGAAGTTTGAGTACCGCCCTGTCTCAATAATAATATTATGTGCTCGTGTTTGGCGACAACGGATATAATCCGCCTTATCGGTTCATCGCATCGGAAACAAAAAAGCGAAAGAATTTGGAACGATGTTTTTACAATTATTTCATTCAGTTGTATACAGTCAGTGTCAGTCTGTAGTGAATGTGGTGTCTGTTGCGTGGCTCAAACGAAATAAAAAATGGCACATGTTTATGCGGATCGGTTTCCCAATCGAGTGCAACCAACCCCTCGTGCCTTTGTTAATGTAGTACAACGGGTTCGTGAATTATTTGACTTAAGACCTCACATATGGACGGCATGCCGGTGCTCCAAGACCTCACGATCAAATACAGGTCCGCACTGAAATACTTGTCGGGAGGATACTTTATAAAACAAGGTAAACTTTTTTTTTTATTTTTTTTTATTTTTATACACATATTTTGGTTTATCTTCCTTCTACAATCATTATCTGAAAATTAATGACTCAACTTCAAAGTCACCCTGTATATATATATATATATATATATACAGGGTTACAGGAAAAGTCGTGCTAGATCCGTTAAGGGCGTGTAGTACCCATCATTTCTGACTTATTTCATTATGAAACACCCTACCCTAAACTTAACCCTTTTCGAGATATTCAACTTTTAATGTTTTTATTGAAAATTGCCGATTTTTAGGCTACTAAATGTATTTATTTTTATTTTGTGTGTGTTATTATTACTATTATTGCATTTTAACATGTGTAATAAGATGCTTTAGGACGTCAATCATTAAAATAGTCCATAAGTTAATTGAATAGGCTGTAGTAGATAAGTGAATGTTAAGAAATTGAAAAAAATATCAGAAAGTTTATTTTTCTCTAAGGGATATCTAAAAAAAATATTATGGCAATTGTTCGGCAGATGTGTTTTAAAATATCTATGTTTTATCAGCTATCTAACGAGGTATAACAATCTAGGATTTTATTTAAATGCATTGAAAAAACTTAGTTTCATAGGCGACAGTGGAGAAGAAAATTGATACTTAGCCCTAAAAAGTAAAATAAAACAATAGGTAAGCATGAAATATCATTTATTAAATCAGGTTTTCACACAACTTTTTCTTACTCTACAGTTCATGTTCAACATGGCTGCCTCTGTTTCTAATACATTGTCGCATCCTTCTACGGAGACCAGTCTTTACAACTGCAGTGGTCAACGTTGTCCTTGGTTGATTTGCTGCATCGACAATCCTTTCTCTTAATTCTTCCACAGACGAAACTGGATTTGGCTCGCTGTAGACAAGACTTTTCATGCACCCCCACACATGAAAATCCATGGGGGTTAGGTCCGGACTTCTTGCTGGCCATGGCAACGGCCCACCTCGTCCTATCCATTTGTTTGGATAATTTGTGTCCAGCCAGTCTCTGACACTTCTCCTGAAATGGGCAGGGCAGCCATCATGTTGGAACCACATGTCCCTTCTCAAGTTGAGTGGCAGATCATCCAGCAAATCTCTGAAGTCTCCTCTCAAGAAGTTTTCGTAATTTTCCCCATTTAGATTGTCCGGGAGAAAGTAAGGTCCAATCAAATGGTTGGAGATAATGCCCATCCACACATTCACGCTGAATCTTCGTTGGGACCTCGCCACTCTTTTCTTATTGGGATTCCTTAGTACTTTTGGGGCCCAGTAATGGGCGTTGTGATAGTTAGTTATGCCATCGTTATCAAATTTGGATTCATCTGTCCATAAGATATTTCTTAGAAAATCTGGGTCTTCTACGTCAGCATTTAGCATAAATCTGCTGAAGTCCAACCTTCTCGCGGGGTCTCCTTCTTCAATAGTGTGTACCGGCGTGTAATGGTACGGGTATAGGCCAGCAGTATGCACTGTAAACCACACTCTCCATTGCGAAAGTCCCAGACCACGGGCAACACGATTAGTGGAAATGGTCGGATCCGCTCGAAAGCGTTGCACTATCTCATTGTCCTGCAGTTCTTCGTTGTCATAAATTCGTGGTCTTCCCAGGTCTGTATTTCGTCTCAAAACAGAGCCAGTTTCTCGAAGTCTTAGATAAACTCTGTTAAAAACGGCCACATCCGGCACTCGACGACCGGGGAAGCGAGTTCTGTATTCGTTGCGAGCTTGCGCAGATACACAATCGCAGTATCCGTAACAAATAAGCATATCAGCATATTCCTCAGGTGTGTAGGACGTCATCTTCAACACTTCCGTATCACAAGTACAAATCAGAGTCCAGTGAACAAGCACAGTATTCACAAATCAGAAGAAATAGTCCAGAATCGTAGCCAAGTCGAGGAAAAGAGCAAAACGATATCACATCTACTATGTACGAAGCACAAAAGCAGACTGACAACCAAAACAACATCCCGTGTTGGATTTCCAGCCCTAACCGGTTATTATAATATGTTTTCTTTCATTCGCACCCACATTAAATCGTCATGTCTCGCTCGCACGGTGCGTCTAAACTTGAAGGAGAATAGGCGTGGGAACTGCTACTGGAGCGTCCCAACTACTTTTTTTCTACGAAATGTAATACAAATCCTAGATTGTTATACCTCGTTAGATAGCTGATAAAACATAGATATTTTAAAACACATCTGCCGAACAATTGCCATAATATTTTTTTTAGATATCCCTTCGAGAAAAATAAACTTTCTGATATTTTTTTCAATTTCTTAACATTCACTTATCTACTACGGCCTATTCAATTAACTTATGGACTATTTTAATGATTGACGTCCTAAAGAATCTTATTACACATGTTAAAATGCAATAATAGTAATAATAACACACACAAAATAAAAATAAATACATTTAGTAGCCTAAAAATCGGCAATTTTCAATAAAAACATTAAAAGTTGAATATCTCGAAAAGGGTTAAGTTTAGGGTAGGGTGTTTCATAATGAAATAAGTCAGAAATGATGGGTACTACACGCCCTTAACGGATCTAGCACGACTTTTCCTGTAACCCTGTATATACTATACCAAACATCCATTTTTTCTGAAAATATTCAGGATTCTCTGGAACATCAAAGAACGAAGTTTGAGGGGTTTGTTTTCCTCGTTTTTGGCCTTTTTCGACGCCACCACTAGAACGATTTTCAAAACTACAAAGCTTGTTTGTCCTTGGCAACCTTATATGAAAACCCGAGCGGTACATCACAAGTTATAAACGGCCCACGAATTAGCACACAAACAGACACCTCTACGCCGGTGGCGTAGGAAGTAACAGGAATTAAATTCGTCAAGGCTCATATCATTAGTACTCATTTCCCATTCATTTGCGTTGCGATAAAAATTGCGATGAGTTAACCACCAGAGGCAGCAGGTTTCTTTACCAAGTATTTTTGTTGCGCGGGTATCGAAAATGCTTTATCATTCTAAGTCTTGAGGGCAAATATACGGCAAACGGCAAAGAAAGTTTCAGCGTTTTTTTTCTTTACGTTTTTTGCCCGTAACTCCGCTATCACATTGATTTCCAACAATTGTAAAACTGTTTCATCCTTGACATAGTGATAACCTTGAGCCAACATTTCATCAAAATGCAAGCAGTACTTTCCACTTAATACAACGGCCAAGAATTAGTGGACAGACAGACCGACAGATAGAACGACGGAAAATGTCATTGTTTTTGGTGATAAACATGTCATGTAACATTCAAAACGCATAACAGTAAGTTTTCGAAATATTCCGCGATTATTATAGTACTGCCTCGCCCACTGGCGTGGGGAGTAAAATTAATCCAAGACCGACTAAAATCACTATAGGGCAATAGCTCTGCTCTCTACGGTCATCTAAAATATAATGAGTCTCACCACTTGGTTACCAATAAGTAATGTGGTTTGCGATACCAGATACCAATTGGAGATCTTCCACCTTACAGACACAGTTGTGAAATAAGCTCATCCACGGTTATTTGGTGAGTCTCACATTATTTGCTTTGGTATCAAGTATATCAAATATGTATTCGATAACCTGTGGCATGCTGCTCTTCTATTCAATTTTGCGGTTCTACTGTTCGGTAACTGCATCTTTCAAAATTGATCCGTTTCTAACTGTGATTCTATTACACAAGAATGACCTCCATCCCAAAAATAATCACTCCAAGAATGAGAATACCTAACATGCGAACATGAGTTGGAGGAAAGAAGACTGCAAAACGATGAGGAAGCATCCCGAATGCTTTTGCTTTTGTACAATAACATGTTTTTCTTTTCAGGACTGACGCCCTCATACAAAAGACAATCCGTAAAAAATTCAGAGATTGCACCGTTTTAACAGTTGCCCATCGTCTCAACACCATCATGGACTCCGACAAAGTACTGGTGATGGACGGCGGTACCATGGTCGAGTTCGATCACCCCCACCAACTTTTGCAAAACACCCAGGGAGTATTTTACAAAATGGTGGCCGAAAGTGGCAGAGCGATGAGTGATCAGTTGCGCAGAGTGGCGCGAGATGCCTTCCAAAAGCAGTTATCAGTTCCTGAATAGGTTTAGGTAGATCAGTGAAATAGCCAGTGATAAGGTTAGGATTAACGCATAAAGAGGTTATCACCTCTTCGAGATTATAAAGCTGCTCAAATCCCAAACCACCCATTTGTTGAGGACAGTAGTACTTACATGTTCACTTCATGTAAGAACATCCCATAAACGTTTGTATCATGGCAGGTCAGTAGATTTTCAGCTTCCAACTTAACACCGAATACATGTAGCTAAACAAAAGCTGTGTGATGGAGTTACGTCATGGGAACCTGCAGAAATTTTTCTCAGCAAGGACCAATTATTCATCAGCGAGTATAAAGTTTTGTATATTGTCAAGATCCTAGACATTCTACACATGCCAAAATATACAAATTTTAGAGGGCAAACAGATTTCAGAGGGGACCACGACTACCTAGAACTCCCCATCTGGGCACCTATGACTTTTAATGTTTCATTTAAAGTATTTATTATATGTCACTAAAGTTTTAGGAATGATTCAAATACATAATTCAATTTCTACTATAGAGATATCATATAACAAGAATTACTGATGCCAGATGCTCAAATATTGAAAGAGCTTATATTGTTCTTAGATACTTAATGGTACCAGTACTTAAAGAATGGTTTTGTCTTCCCATGTTTCTCTCGTGTCTTCCTTAAACCGCGCAACAATATTGTGTGGGTCGGTACTAAGAGTATCACTTTCTTTAAATTTGCGTATTCTCACCCAGGTCGCAACACCATTATGTTACAAATAATAATCATCGCAGTGTATAAAAGATACATACTTGATAGATTTTAACTATCACCTTCATATATAATATCATATGCATATATATTTTTCTATGGACTATGAAAAAAATATTTTCAGTCACCAATATGCTAAGCCTATTCATCTACAGCTCAAACTAAAATTTCTCGGCCTGGCTTGGCGGGTCATATCTCAGATTGGACTTGCAGGGTCTCAAGCCGAACGGTTCACTTTGGAGACACGCTCAAAGTTTCAAGGTTCTGAGAAAATGTGGATTTTATCCTTTTTGGCGCCATTTCAATTTTCTCGCTACTCCTGTCATTGTAATGCGTTAGGCCCGCGATATGTGACTCTTCCGAAGTATGTTTGCCCAGAGAATTAAAAAATGGCGTTCAAATTGCGATCTGATTATTTGTTTGGCAGAGGTTTCAACTAAAACAATTTTTTTTATGTTAGGCTGAACATTCGAAAACTTTCCAAAAAAAAAATCCACAATATTAATGTATTTGTTCTCGGACCTCTGAATTTGTTGAATAGCCAATTTTCGATATTTTTGTCTAACATTTACCATTTTCAGGCTTACGGATGTTATTGTAGATTGAACTAGTCAAAGATGTATGTTACAAATATTTTGACACATTGCTTAATTCAAATTGATTACCGCAGCTTTTGAGAGACATTTGCAAAATACCGATAGTTAATTAGATAGTGTGGCCAAGATGAGGAACGATATTTCAATAATGGTTAGAGCTGCAATGTTTGTTGAATGAAGAGAAAGTTGCGTAATATAAGTATATCTTACATACAGCTTCCATAATTTGGCTGTGATTTGCCAATTTTGGGTTATTTGAAGGAAAACGAGGTTTCGAAATTTTGCAAAATTACACAGTCAAAGCTACTTTTTCCTAATTTAACCAACATTGTTGCTGTAGGACACACTGGAGTCTGAGCTACTAGTTTTTTTGCGAATGTCTCTTAGAAGCTGTTTCAGCCAATGTTTGCCAATAGTTTGATCAAAATCCAATAACATTCATATACCTCCTTCAGCATGCTGAAAATGGTAAAATTTTGGCAAGAATATCGAAAACTGATTCGAAAGGCCTACTCGACCAATTTAGAAGCTCAAAAACAAATTTCAACATATATAGGGCGATACGTCAAAAAAAAATTTTGCTGATTTATTGTTTTGGAAGGCTTTCGAGTTCTCATCCCAAGTAAATAATAACATATTTCAATAAAATTACATTAACGGAAATTATGAGATCGTAAGTTTAAAGCCATTTTTAAATTCTTCTGACAATTTCTATCTTTACACAAACATTAATTTTGTGCGTGATTTGTTTCGGAAAGCATTTGAGTTGTCCGCCCAATAAATCGGTAAGAATTTTCATAAAAATCACGTTTGACTGAGATATCTGCCGAACGAAGTATCATACCGCGATTTGGAGGTCAGTTTTGAGTTCCTTGAACAATTGTTATTCAAATTGTCATATTTTATGAAGGCAATGACGAGAGTAGCAAGAACATGGAAAAGTTACCAAAACACGTTTGCTGAACGTGCAAGCTTTGTGCGCGTCTCCATACCGAACCGTTTGACCAACGACCCCAAAATTTCACAAAACCTCATGCATCCGCGGGTACTCTTCAGGGAAAAAAATGAGCCTCATCTGAAATATGACCCGTCAAGGCAGGTCGTGGAATTTTAGTTGTAAATTATGAACGTCATCAAGCAAAATGATCAAATTTCAAGAATAAATAATGATCAAATATGTTGAATTGTAAGCTACTGTTACAAAAAAGTTTGTATGTGCCTTTCAATTTTATTTTTCTATTTTAATCAAGCAAGCTCTAGAATATTTGACGTTTTGATTAATCTTGTGGATAACATTAATGCAACTTATCCAATTTCAGGATTATCAAACATACGGGTGTTATGTCAATATCTCAATTTTATTATCCAATTATTTTTCACTATGAGCTCGCTAAATCACTTTTTATTTCAATTTATTATCGGTCGAATACTTTTGAGCCATTATTTGAAGTAATTAGACAAATAACTGGTCCTGCGTGAGTGTAACTTATTTTTGATAGATTTTATGCAACAATCATTGAACTGTGGTATACTTAATTTGAAACAAAAAACCAGTAAATAAAAGTATATAAATATGTTTTACTATCTACATAATACTGTTATTTAGATTATTGAATGTGATTTTTATGTATGTGTATTATAAATGTTTGTACATATCAGTCTATTCGGATATTTTTAGATTTCATGGTATATACATATAGTGATACTCTGCAATTTTAATATTTTTAATAAAATGTCGTACTTATGATTAAGTGTTTTTATTTCCCAAAATGCTATTCAACATCCTTGCGTAACTGTCTTGCAAGTTAGTAAACGCGGAATAGTATCACAGTAACTATAAAACTACTGCTTCCAGAAGATGACTTGTTTTTTTTAAAGAAGAAACCGCTTAATATTTCTTTCTTTTTAACCTATTTGAAAATGAGTCCTTTCTTAAAGATAAAGATGGAAAGATAAAGATCAAGTTTACAGTTTAGAGCAATGCGTTAGCATGCCAGCCTGTCCTAGTCACATATCACATAATGATATGATGATACATTCTTAACATTATTTTTTCTATTCACATTAGGCGTACAAATAGGTTGCCACTATTTTCTAAGCACAAATATGATCTCACAGTACAATTCAGAACATCATGTCACATTTCTGGTATAATCATACTAAATGCTTCCACTACACATTCTCGTAACTGCTGCAAAAGTATGCTGATAAACTTGGTTTTTACTAAGACCCATAACAAACAAATCCAGAGTAGTTAAGCCCGGTGAATTCGCTGGCCAGGATAATTCTCTGGAGGTTAGAATCCACCTTCAGGAAATCGTTGAGAAAGATACTCTCGAACTTGGCTAGAGAATGTGTAGGAGCACCGCCTTGTTGAAACTAACAACTATTAACCTGTGCCAAAAGTAAATAATCCAGGCAGTCTTCTATCATCATCATCATCATGTCGGAACAATTGAACGTACCGTTCTTGTAGTTAATGAGATGTAGTATACAGGGTGTCCCAGAAGTAGACGTCAAGCCGAAACCGGGTGATAGGCAAAGTCATAACAGCTATCAGAAAAATATTTAAAAAAATTTTATATATGTGTTTTGAAAATTATAGGTCTTTGAAAAAAATATAGAAATTTCACACCCTACGGCAGTCTGTTAACTCCTGTTACTACAAATATTAACTTTTTTTGGATTTTATTTTTACAATGCAATGATGAATAATGCATCTTCAAACTGGTGTCTCAACCTTAATGCCAACTTTTCTCGTTCAGGAAAAATTGCTACTTATTTCCCAACCAAGTATTCCAAAGTAAAACTTTGCTCAACTTTAACGGGCTGTACTGGAAAAAAATGTACTACTAGAGTTTGGCAAGTAACCTTAAAAGTTGGCGCATTTAATAACGATTCCAAAATGGTATAACACTTAGAAGATTACTCGTTAACTTATGCACAATTTTTATTTGAAGAAAAACTGATGAACATTTTTTAAAATTTCCTAATTAAACAGCGATTATGAAAACGCACAAGGACCCTTAAGGATAACTGTTTGCACAACAGTGGGCGTCAAAATGCTGCTGATGATGATTTACCTTTACAGCAAATGTTCAAACTGTTTTCCTTCAGCCGCAATACACGCTCGACATCTTCTTAAAAAAGATCGGGTTATTAAACGAGCGAATCCACGGTTGTTAATAAACTCAGCTGCTTCCAATAGTCTTTGCCGTAGCTCAGCTACATTTTGAATCGGCTTGAAATACACTCTTTCTTTTACAGTTCCCCAGTAAAAAAATCTAAAGGATTCAAATCAGGTGATCGGGCTGGCCACGGTATTGTACCAGACCGCCTTATCCATCTGCATGGAAAGTTTTGATCGAGATACTCTCTCACTGAGAGTGCAGAGTGCGCTGGGCAGCCATCATGCTGAAACCCCTTTTCCTGTAAATACTCAGTAGCACGTCCACCAACAAATTTTGTACATGATTTTTCAAAAAATCCAATTAAACTTCAGTAGTCAAAGTCTCTGGGAACTCAAACGGACCGATTATTTTACCATTTAAAATTCCTGTCCAATGGTTTATCTTGAAGCGATATTGAGATTTATCTTCTCTCATCAAATGTGGGTTTGCTACGTGCCACTCGTGTAAGTTATGCAGGTTCATGTACCCATCTTTCTTAAATGTGGTCTCATCCGACCATACATTTTTTTCAAAGAACTGTTGATCTTTCCTGTGTCTTTCTAACATTGTGCGACAAAAAGCAACTCGGGGCTCATAATCCCGGGGCAGGAGAGTTTGAACGCTGTATGTGGTATGGATGAAGCACATCACTTACTTGCTATTGCACACTTTGATACCGATCAGTACTCCTTCGTTTACTGTGCATCTTTACATGTTCGTGCTTGTTGATTTCGTACTGTTACTAATTTAGGATTCGTGAACTGGACTGTTGATCGCTTGTGATTTGGATTTGGACTGTTTAATTGCTCTTCAAAACAACATTTGCTTTCCTTAGACTATCTTTGATAGTGTGATTGTGCATTGCCGCTATGTCCGTATACACCTTACAAGAATATGCTAACATGCACCTCATTTATGGGGAATGCAGATGCAACGCTAGTGCTGCAGCGAGACTTTACTGCGAGAGGTACCCGAATGCAGCTCGTCATCCAGATCATCGAGTGTTCACAAATGTGCACCGCTTACTGTTCTCAGAGGGCCAACTACCAAACCAATCACACGGTGAGGGAAGATCTTTCCTTCCTTACGAAGACGTGGTGCTAGGAGCTGTCGAAGAAGACCCGAGTACTTCAGTGCGTGCAATAGAACTAAAAACAGGTGTGCCCAAAAGTACAGCCCATAGAATCTTGCAAGAAAACGTGCTCCATCCATACCACGTGTTCAAGCTCTTCTGCCCCGGGATTATGAGCCCCGAGTTGCTTTTTGTCGCACAATGTTAGAAAGACACAGGGAAGGTCCACGGTTCTTTGAAAAAATTTTATGGTCAGATGAGACCACATTTAAGAAAGATGGGTACATGAACCTGCATAACTTACACGAGTGGCACGTAGCAAATCCACATTTGATGAGAGAAGATAAATCTCAATATCGCTTCAAGATAAACCATTGGACAGGAATTTTAAATGGTAAAATAATCGGTCCGTTTGAGTTCCCAGAGACTTTGACTGCTGAGGTTTATTTAGGTTTTTTGCAAAATCATTTAGAAAATTTATTGGAGGACGTGCCACTGAGTATTTATAGGGACATGTGGTTTCAGCATGATGGCTGCCCAGCGCACTATGCACTCTCAGTGAGAGAGTATCTCGATCAAAACTTTCCATGCAGATGGATAGGGCGGTCTGGTACAATACCGTGGCCAGCCCGGTTACCAGATTTGAATCCACCTGGTGCTGGGGTCTCTGGACCTAGAACTAGGCTATCTCTGCCTCTCGATGGATACACCACTATTTTCCAGGCGCAAGTCTTTGCGATTCTGGCTTGTGTATCTCACATTCTGGAGGAGGGTGGGCCTAGGAGAAGAATAACAATCTTATCCGACAGCGAGGCTGCAATGAAAGCACTAAGTGCCTGTAAGATTACTTCGAGTCTTGTACTGCAATGTTGCAATGCAAGGAGGCTCTGGATTGCCTCGCAGCGAGGCATCTGGTATCGTTAATATGGGTACCGGGGCACGCTGGGATAAGGGGCAATGAGACGGCGGACACTCTGGCGAAGACAGGATCAGCCAGCAAGCTCGTTGGTCCTGACCCAGCTCTAGGAGTGACCGCGCATAAAGCTAGGATGAAAATGGAGACGTGGGTTGCAAGACAACACTCTCAGAAATGGAGAAGTATCTCCAGACATCTCCGCCAGGCACGAGAACTCATTGAAGGGCCCAGTGCTAAGGATGGACGCTTCTCATTGAAAAAAGTATGGCCTAGTAATGAGCACTCTATTATCAATGAAGAGAAATTTAAATAGTGATAAATAGTAAAAAAAGGTTACGTGATTTTGGCACGTGACAAAAGTTGATGCTGGTTTCTCAACTCTCAACTAAAAAGTTCTAATGGAAAAGTTTCATCAGTATTTTGATATTCTTTAAAATAATGTCAGAAAAAAATAAAAATGATTCTGCTAAATTTAAGTTTTTCCCAAATATCTCAGTAAGTCATGAAATTTTTACACGTTTCTCAAGGGTATGTAAATACGCCCCAGAGAACGCAAATTTTTACTAATTTAACATGAGCTGTATCTCCCACAGGTATTGAGATCTCCATCTATAGTATTGTTATCTTTATATAGCGGTTATTTCGCTTAAAATACCATATTAATAAGATCTAGCGTGCTATGACATTGTAGAACGGAAGCAACAGAATAAACTTAAAAATTGATTACTGCAAACTTCAAAACCGTTGAGGTCGCGTCATTTTCAAGTTTACTTTCGAATTTTCTAATGCCGCTTAAAATAGCGTTTGATATGCTTGCCGTCTATTTTGAATGCATGCAAAAAACAGCATAAGCGAGTGTTCAGCAACTAAGGAGTACGGGAAGTACCCGCCGTCCCACTATTGCCAAAAAAAGGAAGACTGGTAGCTTGGAAAATGAAATGGTAGTGTCAGGCTACGTGGAAATTAGCAGCTGCCATTCCAGCAAAAGAGATATCGATAGAGATTTAGGGCCGTATCGTCAGTCGTTCCTATAATAAGTATTGTTGTACACCTTTATGTTCTCCTTTATTTGCACAGTCTTTTCTTTCCTTCAGAAAGACTGGTAATTTCTAAATTTTTGCTTTTGCGTGTCAGCGTCAGCGCTCTCCTACTGTGAGATTGTTTTCTTTTGAATCGGAGGACATTTCAGTCTGATATAACAGATGATGTGAATCAAAAGCACACGGAACAGTAGAAAAATAGGAAAATCAATGAGGCCATAAGGGCCGAATGCCCGTATGCTGTATCGTCAGTCGTTCCTAAAATATTGTGGGACGCCTTTATGGCCTTCTTGATTTTCATAGTATTTGCTTTCCTTCAGAAAGACAAGTGTATGGCTGCAATATCATTCTTGGTCATGGAATTATTTCTAGATCTCTACTGTTCCGTATCACTTGGTTACTTTCAGGTTATATATTCTTTTTGAATGTATAAGAAGTTTCAGGGTGATAAAACAGATGGTAAAAATTAAAAGCATGAACAATTTGATGCAAATCGATATTTGTATCATCTAAAAAGCTTATAACCAAGCTGTGCTTGGG